CCCTAACCCTAACCCTAACCCTAACCCTAACCCTAACCCTAACCCTAACCCTAACCCTATAACCCTAACCCTAAATTCTTCACTCAGTGCTCGCTCCTTCATCTTGTCCTCGCTCAGGAACAAATTTGTATTCCGCACAGATTTGCTTAAGATCAATGCAGATTGTATTATTGGCAAATCATTGGCAATATGGTCACCAATGGCGTCTTGGAGCATCACCTGGGCCTCGAGCCAGAGGGGGAGGCTTGATCGATTTTGGTAGGAAAGAGCGCAAGAATGGCCCAAAGAACTTCGACAGGTACCATTTCCTGGCCTGGCTCTTCATCAAGGGCTATTGGCTCGCTTGCGTCTTGCTCTTGTCTCTCATCCCCAAAGACTCTGTCGCCAAAGGATACCCTATGCAGAAGCTTCTATGGTACTCCGTAAAGGACTTTGAGAAGCATACACAGCTTCTAGGTAAGACCCTCTGCGCTCAGGGCAAATTGTCCTACCTCAAGTCTGTCAACGCTGCCACAATGCCACAAGCCTTCACACGAACTGAAGAGAGCAGCGTCATCATCGGCAAAAAGTTTTCTCACCAAAAGCCAGTGCCCATCATGGCTCTGCACCCGGACTTTTGGCCTTCACAAAACTCGAAGCTCATTAATCACATCGACCATCTCTCGCAATTCTGACGTGAGGGCAAAGATTGCCGAAGGCAAGAATATCGGCTACAAGGTGCGCAAGTACACGAGAATGTTTCCCCCCATTGTGGTGGGAGAGTCAATTATCAAGCAGCAACAAGCCCAGATGTGATGACAAGACTCAAAGTCCAGCTACGCTTTTGCTAGTCCAGCCAGTCTAGAGCGTTATGACCACGCTCCAAGGTACCACTTTGCAGAATCATCGCCTTCTCCAGCAATAGATGTCATTGCCATAGTTTTGCAGTACCAAGACTTGGGCAAGTCCCGGCCGCTTTCAATCTAGCTGTCAAATTAGCACGCCACAGCCGATTGTCAACAGTTGCCTCCTGCCCGCAGCCGGGATGCAGCAACAGACTCTTCCTCACTTGTACATCGCGTGTGATATGACTGTGCACTGTCCGTGAAATTGCAGCTTGGCACGACGCGTTGTCTGGGCCACGGCGTTCTGGCCAAGATTCCCGACGACGCCAAAATGAGTGTTTGTGGGTCAAAACACGGGTGCTTCGGAAAAGTATTTCTGGAAAGTGGTACATCGAAGTCCGCCGCACTTTATGGCCGATTACGCTAATTGTTAGCCGAGACCCGCCTGTGCCAAGTCCATCGTCACGATGCAGACCTTGGCAGACCTCACCCCATTTCGGGCTGGCACCTCTCTCGGTATACGCCATAAACCTGCGAACGACCCTGCAAATCCCACAAGAGAATGCCGAAAAGCAAAGCATCTTAAGCAGGGCGGAGTTCAGCTCCAAGCGGAGAGTTCCGCCTCGGACAAAGCAGATCCGACGTCGTGGTACTTAGCGATCTGGCACGTCCGCCAAACGCGCTCATAATCCCTACACTTCACAGCATCAGGGGTTGGCCTGTATGGTCTCAGGGCAATGGAACATGCTTCTTCGTCTGGAGAGAATGCCGAAGTGAACCCGTGACCGTTCTGCATTCGCCTAAGGGGCATCGTTTGTGTTCGAACCGAAATGACTGAAGCGGTGTTCAGGAGGTCAAGATTGCTCTTTAAGTAATGTCAAAAGGTACCATAGGCATTGTAGGGATTACTGTTCGAAAGCATAAAAGGCGGTTGGCTACGACCATTGAGAGGGAAGCCGTTCACCAACCCTTCTTATTCAGAGCCTCTCAAGTCACCGTCGGACACGGTTTGTTCCCATTCAGAGGCCGATCTTTATCAAACACGATGCGCGCCACCATTTCCTATTTGACGACAGTTGCCCTGGCAGCCGCGGCCTTCTCCACCACCCGTGCCTTACCCGTGCAAGACGATACGTCGCTGTCGAACACCAAGCGCACTGACGCAGCTGCTGGCTTTCTGTCTGCCACCTTCCTGGGCGATGTGCCTCACGTCTACTTGCACTACTCTCAAGCCGATGCTCCCGTCACTTTCAGCGCTGTGCAGGGATCGCAGGGAGTGCTTGTACCAACGCTCGGAACTGGCGGCGCTCGCGACCCCTACATCTTCCAGAATCAGGTGAACGGGAAGGTAAGTTGCTTGCGCTGATGAGTGAGGTGGTCACTGTTGCAACCCATGCTGATCAATTCTTTCGCCTTGGACGTCTGTCCTCCCTTGTCTGTGACAGTACTACATTATGGCCACCGATCTCGACATTGCCAAGACCAACTGGGGCGATGCTCAATCGCATGGATCGCGTAGTATCCACATCTGGGAGTCGACAGATGGCGTCAACTGGTCTGCGGAAAGGCTGGTCGAAATGATGAACTCGACTGCTGGCTACGTCTGGGCTCCGTCTGCTACATGGGACAGCGCAGCAAATGCCTATGCCGTCTTTTGGTCGTCACAGACGTACGCCGAGTCAGACACTGACCACACTGGAGCCGCGGAAGGACCTTTTGTCTACTACTCACATAGTACTGACATGGTGAATTTCAGCAGTCCGCAGCGATGGGAAAGCGCCAACTTTGGTGGCAAGGTCATCGACCAGGAGGTGCTCGACCTTGGCAATGGCAATCTATACCGATGGTACTCGGATGTGCAAGGCGGCACTGGTGTAGTGATGGACAAGACGACGAGCGGCCTGTTCGGAACTTGGGAGCGCATTGGCAAGCCGGCCAATGTCGTTTGGGAGGGCCCTGCGATTCAGCGCGACATTGTGAACCCGTCCAAGTTCTACTTATGGGAGGACAACTACGGAGGACCTGGCTATTCGTGCTTCCAAACCGAGGATCTCAACACCATTCCTTTTGCCGACTGCGATCCTGCACTGACACCGACAGGTATGCGTCACGGTGCTGTCGTGCAAGTGCCACAATCGACCTTAAGCGGTCTGCAGGCCGCTTGATTGCAGAATCAAGACATGTCCGGACGGGTTAGGGTTAGGGTTAGGGTTAGGGTTAACCCTAACCCTATCGAACTGCAGCTGCTGCTGCCTGACTGACACTCTCTCCATGGTGGGCTTTGCGTATGTGGTTGGTGATGTTGCTGGCAGCATAACTGAACTGGCAGCCTTTTCTCCTCATTTCATGGATTCTTGCCTCTTGCTGCTCTTTGGGGATGACGTGCTGAGCATGCAACTGTAGCTGCACGTGCGCGCACCAGCAAGTGGAAGTCCATCACCAACACCATATTAGCAAGTGCTGCGGCATTGGCCTGCGAGCACTGCCAGCCTCACTTTCACTTCGCACTTTCAGACGTGTCTTGCAAGATATCCATTGTGAATACAGCTTGGATTGATCTTTTGATTGCCAACAACAGAGATGACATGCTTGAGCGAGTGCGACGACAAAGACAAGAAGGGCAGGTAGAAGCAGGGGAGCAGGGTAGAAGCCTATGACAAGTGTAAGTCAGTAATCAGAGCGAGTGCAGCTGCGGGGCGAAAATTGTGAAGCTGCAGGGCGACGCGCATATTTGGCTTTGAAGGTGCAAGAGAGGCGGCAGATAGACAAGCCAGCAAGCAAGTCGGACGGACGGATTGCCTCCCCTTGCTGGCTCTCTCCTGCCAGGACAGACGGGTGCAGGCAAGCCAAGAGGCCAAGCGGGGCGCTCCTGGACAGGGAGCAGACAGGCAATTTGGATTGACAAAGTGGGATTGACAAAATGGGATTGGGAAGGCGCGTGAAATTTCAATCCGTCAGGTCTGCAGAGCGCGATTCCGTCGAGCCTGCTTTTCGTTTTTTTTTCGATCGCGTGCATTTTCTCCGCCAAAGTTCGTCCGCCGCGTAGCGTGCGCATCCCGCGCGCTATCACTGGGGTCATCAAGAGTCCATTGGTCAGATTGGCCGAGCTCGCGACTCGATGCACAGACACACAAACAGACGATGTCGACTTTGAACCACAAACAATTGCGAAACAAGGTGGGGAAGAGAAGTAGTAATGACGCGGACCTGTAAAGCGTGATAGACAAGCGAATCAACGCAAAAAGGCAACAGGGTTACGATACAGGATTCAGGGCATGGAACAATAATTGAGCGGAAAGGGAAGGGAGGTAGCGACTATGGCCTGAAGCCGAAGCATGTCCGTCGCATTTGAGATCGTCAGATGGGCACGATTCCACGTTGACCACTGAACGCGATGTGATGAAGTATGGTGGTAGCGAAAGATAAGCAGCCAACAAGACCGTCTGAAGACAGCGAACTCGAAGTCGATGACTAAGTTATTCAGTCGGACATCAGAGCGTCACTGATCGCTTAGATGCCGGCAGCAGTAGCAACAGAGCTGGCAGCACCGGAGACGGCGGGCACGTTGTTGACCTGCTGGACGGCCGATACGAACGAGTCGACACCGATGGCGTTGAGACCGGTAACAAAGGCGTTCACATCCGTGATGTGCTTGAAGCTTTCAAGCACCTGGTCAGCGCCAGGGATCTGAACGGCGGCCTTGAGCACGTCCTCAGCGCCGGGAGCGGCGAGGAAGTTCTGGACGTTCTCGAAACCGTACTTGTTGGAGTAAGCAACAAGCTTCTCGCAGCCGTCAACGCCCTTGAGACCCTCCAAACCGAGTTTTGCGCCTTTGATGAGTGCGGCAATGTCTTTGCCGACAAAGGCGCCGATGAACTCGATCAAGCTGGGGATCTTCTGGATAAGCTGGATCAAGGCGACGGAGACTTCGACATGGATGGCAACAACTGCCTTGAGCAGCTCCTCGGCACCCTTGACCGCCTTGACGGCGACAAGGAACCAACCGTTGAGGAACACCTGGACGATGTCGAGCTGAACTTGAATTGCGAACTTAGCCTTGCCCAGCAGGTCGATGAGAGCGTCAGCACCGATCTGGATGATGTTGTCAAGGTGGCCAAAGATGCCAAGCAAAGCGTCAAGCGGAGCGTTCGCTACCGAAGATCCTGTTCCCGAACCGCGTGCTTCGAGGCTCAAGATGGTGTCGGCGACCAGAGCACGGCGCTCAGCTGCAACCGAGGCAAGGTCCGTAGTGGCAACTTCGAGAGCAGGGGAGCGCTTGTGCTGAATGATGTCGTTCGACTTGACCGAGCCGATGGCAGCGGCATTGGCAGCCCCAACAGCGGCAAGGGCGACGAGGAGAGAGGCAGTGACACGCATTGTGTTGAGATTGAGAGTGTTGAGACTGAGAGTCTGGAGAAGCTTTGGAGATGGTCTTTGAGTGGGGCTTGTATGGAGCAGAGAGAAAGTTGTTCGATGAGAAGATGAGAAGGAGGGAGAAAAGACGGCTCAAAATGGACCCCATATATAGCTTTTGGTGTCCGCTGAGGTGGACACAACGATGCAGCGGAAATCGTGCGGCATGATCAGCGTAAAGCGACGTGCTTCTCATTCTCATGTGAAATGCTGTTGCAGAGAGAGAGGTGTTGCAGAGAAAGCTGTTCGAAGCTCCTGATCTGCTGTCACCCACCTAAGCTGCGACTAGCGAACTCTTTCGTGGTGCAACGAAAGAGGTGTCGGCCCTCAGGCTGGAAAGGTTAGTCAAAAGCACAAGAATCAGCATCGATGTGCCGAGACTGCATAACAATGGGTCTTAAGACTCGTGCTAGATCAACGCAATCCAACCGAAGCACGAGAATCAGCAACATTGTTGCGAGATAGCATAGGCATGGGTCTCAGACTAATGCTAGCTCGGCGCGACTCTGACACTATGGTGTTCGAGCGAAGTCGATGATGCCCAAGCTGAGGGTCGGCGTTAGTAGCCGCTCCAAGAGCAAGACATCAGCGTCGCGGCAGAAGCAGGTCGAGTTTGCCGATAGTGTGTGCGCTTTGTTCGATCAAGGTCCACGATCTGCAGACAGCTAGTATCAATGATATTCAAAGGCAGAAGCTGCCGTCTGACTATTGTTACCACTGCCGCTGCCCGCTGCCTTGTGTCAAGTTCATCCTTGAAATCTGATAAAAGCCTAGGAATTCGGAACGATGCGGCCGGCCGGTGCTGGGATAGTCGTGCTGGTACGATGTCGACCCTGGTCACCAAAAGTTTCCGATATGGCCGAAACGAAGAAGCACCGCCTGACTCAACTCGCTTTGAGAAGATTGTTCGCGATCACACCATTGTATAATCTGGTGCTGGATGCCGAGCGTGAGAGGAAAGTCTGAACAGTACGAGAGAACAGTACACTTCACTACTGTTATACGCGCCATGTGACTGTTCTGCCTCAGCGAGTTGATGACGCCTAGGTCAGACGAAGGGCAGAGAAACGATCCTCGCGATCGACCAATCGACAAAGCAAACACCGCTAGCGTGTGTGCGCTGTTTGACAGTCTCGTCAAGCGAGCTGACAGGCAGGCGGATCGTTCAGTCGCATTCGCAATTGCACTTGTCGACCTGTACGCAAGGAACGGCTCCTTCCGCAAATAGTCTCACCTGTGCTTGAAAGGAGGGCATCCAATGTTGATGCGGCTGCCGGCCTAATGTTGAAGCGAGCAACGAACACCGAAGGCGCATTTTCCGAGGATCCGAGTAGCGGATTATATTAATTAGCGCATGGCGATCAGGGGTGCAGCCGATCTTTGGTTTGGCTGCGAACCTAATATCGAAGCGAGCAACGAACCCCGCCGGCGCATTTTTCGAGGGTCCGAATCCAATGGAGAATATTAGCGCCTGGCGCACGTTTATCGCTGGGTAGCGTAAGAGTACAAGTGCCTACTGTGGTAAGATCTGCTTTCCCCTCGATTTAAGCAAGCCGACATCTCTATGAATCTGAATTTTGCGGCGCCGTTCCAGTCGCACCCCTACTAGGACGACAACGCGTACAGTGTGAGCGGCGAAGACGGACTGCAAGACGAATCCTCACACAGCTTTCGAGGCAGGGCTCGACACAAGAAGAGCCGAACCCTTGGGGTCACGACAGGGTGAGGCTACTGAGGAAGCCAGACCTGACATGCACTACCGAAATCAATCATCAAAATGCTCCGATGTGCGCCGTCACGCCTCTGTCATAGCACGTAATGCCAGGATAACGATTCTCAGCCGGCTTTGCTGAAGCGAACGTGCCTAGCAGCCAGAAGTACGGCACCACTGGAGTGATATGAGAGCATGCTGGCGTGATGATAGATCAGCCTCGGTCCAAAAGCTAGCACCCTGTGTCAGTTGCCGCTGAGATGGCGAAAGCAGCCGCTTGTCTAGCTCGAACATGCCTGACCACGTGGAGACGGGCCGGCGGCGCTACGGTTCCAGTCGCTCGCTTGCGTTCGGATCCGAATCGCGTTGCTCGAGGTGATGGCTTCTCTCGACCAGAAGTCGCCTTGCTCTTGTAAAGCGTCATTACGGCAAAGAAGCTCTGACAGCTTTTCAGAGGGTACAACGCTCACTTTTTGCCGGCACAAGAGCTCGACTCTACCGGTCGGATTTGATTCGATCAGACACGAGCTTCTCACAGCCATCACGCTGCCTTGGGCTGGTTTGAATCCTTGACTTTTGTGTGTGCCGTAATTCAGACTTCTTCTTGTACGTGACGCCTCGCAATGCCTTGAGATGCTGATGCGAGGTCCCCAATCACTGTCGATGCTGCTGAGCATTCTTGTTGTAGATGTCGTTGTACGTTCCCAGTGCTTGTTTCTCGAGTTCAGTGGCATCTCTCTCGTCGAATCTGTGAGGATCGAGCTGCTTGACCAACCATCGATCCCCTTCGGCAACGCATTCGTTCAGTACATCAGCAATGAGCCGAGCACATCCAGCGGCGTGCGTGACCCATACCGCAGATGCGACATAGACCCCTTCGTGATGCTTGACCTTTCCGACAAGAGGCATGCCGTCTGGAGTGACACTGAAAATGCCATTGAAGACGCGATCGTGCCCAACATTGGCGGGACTGACCGAGAAGGTATCACTCGTCTCGGAGGGAAGCAGTGCCAGTGCATCCCGAAGAATAGGCTCAAACGCGGTGTGCCACTCTCCATATGCCGACTGCGTCAGCTGCGAGTTGGCAACAGCAATAGGGTCGTGAGCATAAGAACCGATGCCATCCCGCAAACCATGATCGCGAACGTAGACATGGGCCTCTGGGTAGCGAACGAAAGGGGTCTTGATAGCTCTTGGCTCGCTGCGTTGTGCCGTGTAGCAGTACGGATGCGCAACAGGAACGATCGGCAGCGAAGGCAACAGCGCGCGTGTCCAGATACCGGTGCACAGAACGACCTTGGCCGTTTCGACCCTCGTGCCATCGGCGAGCACCACCAGCTTTGAGGCGACGGACTTGACATCAGCATCGATGAGCAAGGCGCGGTGCTGCTTGGCACGTCGTTGCTCGTGCCGGGCAATGAGCTGCGCATTTGCCGTGCCGTCCTTCTCGAACCATAATGCTTCCTTTGCGCCTCCTGCCTTGATAAAGAATGGTGCTTTGCTGAGCGCATCATCGGCACTGATCATCTTTGCGTTGAGTCCGGCAGAAGTCGCGGCCTCGCATCGCTCCTTCAATGACTGTGCGGTTTTGTCGGACTGTGCGATTTCCAACCCGCCAACAACGTTGAAGCCGCCATTGATTTCGAGGTACTTTCTCACTGTCCGTTTGGCGAGCGTGGTGAGGGCAGGGATCTGGTTGTATTGTCCAACATAGCCAGGTGCGTGACCTGTAGACCCTGGAAGACCGTGCACGTCTCGATCGATGAGCACCACGTGTCGTCGTTCCTGCTGGCGGTGTTGATCTGTCGCGAGAATAGAAGCCAAACAAGAGCCAACAATGCCCGCCCCGATGATGACGATGCGTTGGGCGGGATCAGTGCTGGCGAGGAGGTGAGACAAACCTTGGTCTGCGTCCTTCGCGGCCATCCTGAGTAAACGTGGAACACAGAGGGGAAGAGAGTCGTGAGAAGTAATGATGCCAGAAACTCGCACGAGGTGGCCTTCCTGAGCTTTTGTGCACCATCTCAAACGCTCGGCGCATCTCCGGAGAATTGATTTTTGCCGGCTATTTCGGCCAATTCTGCGGTGTCGGTTGCCGAGCGACCTTCTTGTCAATTGTCCCAAAGACTTTTGCATGTTCAGCCGCCAAGTTGATCTTGGCACGAAGCAGATTCGTGTGCGAAGGAGAAGCTACCAAGACGATCGATCGGGACACACTCCTGCCTTCGCTCGATCGACCACATTCTCGCATGATTCCACTGCGCCTTGTCGAGTTCGGTTCCTTTTGCGCTTGCCGAGCTTTCTGAGAGAAGTTAAGGTTTGGACCCTGTCAAATCGAGCACGTTTCCCCGCAAAGCAGAAGGAGGTTGCCTTCAGCATGCTCGCGCTCGGCCCATGTCTTCCGTAGCTGCCTCCGCCCGAGAACTCGTTTTATTATACTAGGCAGAGCGGCCCAAGCGTGTCGTGTGCGTCTGTGCATGCTTCTGTGCCGATGACATCGAAGCTCGCTTGGCGTACCTCACTTGCTGGAACGAGCTTGTGTCCGTTCCTCTGCCTCATTTGTCGATGGCCAAGCCCGCGGTGTAACGCGCTGCTCGACGATAGTCTGCCTCAGCCCCGCGCACTCATTCCGAGATGCTTCTGCTCGGGCTGTGTGTTCCGGAACAGTAATGCCCCTCCTTGCCAGCAACACTCTGATCCCTCTTCACTCTTCTCCATCGACCACACAGCGCCATCGCTGATCATGACACAGCAACTAGAAGCAAAGGCGCTCGTCGTCGACAAGCCCCAGGGTCCCTTCCACCTCGTTGATATCGAGCTCGATCTCAGCAAGCTCGGTTCAGACGAGGTCATTGTGCGCTATCATCACACCGGTGTCTGGTAAGTACATCAGCGCTGGGTACCTTGGAAGCCCGTGAGTCTCGGCGACTGACGATTCTAGCTCGATTGAGCCCGATTCCACGCAGCCACACCGATGTCAACTCTCGAAATCTAGCAACGCCAGAGCTTCTGCCAGCCATCTACGGGCATGAGGGTGCTGGTGTGGTCGAACATCTCTCGAGCTCATACGAAGGCCCGCTCCGAGTCGGAGACTCGGTACTGGCGAGCTTCTGCAGCTGCGGTGGTTGCAACAACTGCCATTCCAGTCGTCCCGCCTATTGCGACATCTTCGTACCGATGAGTAAGTCACGTCTGACAGAAGGCAGTCTTCGTCCACCGTGCTGATCGCCAAACGCTCACACTCAACTCATACCTTGCAGATCTGGCCAGCCTCAGCAAGAACATGCAGCACGTCAAAGTCTCCTACAGCGCTCAGGATGGCTCGAAAGGCGAGGCACTTATCAAGTACTTCGGCCAAAGCTCCTTCTCCAGTCGGATGGCCGTGACTGATCGCAGCGTGAGTGCAAGAATCGCCTGAGAATAGCAGCTTTCGTAGCTTGACACTGACAGACGCTGCTTCCTTTGTCCACAGCTTACCAAGGTCAGCTCAAACGTACCGACAAAGCTGGTCTGCGCACTCGCTTGTGGCTTCCAGACTGGGTTTGCGACGGTCTTCGAGAAAGCTCCATCAGACCAAGCCCGATCCTTCGAGCTCTTCGAGTCGGCTGGTATCCACGTGCCTGACTCTGCCAGGTCGTCGGGCCGTCACGAGCGAAGCAAACAAACACTCCTTGTCACTGGACTCGGAGGTGTCGGCCTTGGTGCGATCTATGGCGGCAAGACGTTGGGCTTTGGCTCGATTATCGCTTGCGACCTCAACGACAGCCGACTTGAGCTGGCAAAGGAGATCGGCGCGACACACACCATAAACGCCAAGGGCCTCGATGCCACCGCGTTTGCAGCAAAGGTCAAGGAGTACAGCGCTGATGCACGAGGCGCCTCGCTGGCCATCGAGGCATCCGGCTCGCCTGTTGCTATGGGCAACGCGATCCGCGCTCTGGCTGTGGGTGGTAGATCTGTGGTGGTCGGCGCTCCACCTCCCGAAGCCTTACTTCCTGTGCCGCATGCAGAGATCTTGGCACAGGCCAACTCTGTGGAAGGCCTCCTGATGGGAAACTCGGTACCACAGATCACATTTCCTTACTTGGTGAGCAAGCTAGAGGCAGGAGAGCTCGGATTCCTCGAGAAGATGATTGCAGTGTATAAGCCAGCCGACATGAACAAGGCTGTAGAGGATCAAGAAAGTGGCAAGGTTATCAAGCCTGTCATAGAGTGGATCTAGTCTCCGCATTCCATCAGACAATTGTCCTCATCGTGGCAACATGGTATCTTCGTTCAAACGCAAAAGCTAGCATTGCGAGAGAGTCGCCGCTGACCTAAACATTTGTGGAAGAGCTCTGGCCAATTCGCTCGGCAAGCACAGCACCGCTGGGTCCAGCATAGCTGTTCTTGCCCCAGGTGACGTAGCCGACAGAGGAAAGCAAGACTACTCCGACGAGGATCACGCTGGACCAGTTCATCGTGTCGGCTGCCGGAGGGTAGACAGAGGGAAAACAGAAAAAGACGCCAAAGACGAGCATGTAGATCATCGCGATGGTATTCACCGTCCAGCCGACCATCGACGAAAGGCGGTAGGGACCCCTCTTCTCGATGTAGCGGTTGTTGAGCATGAAAGCTCCGATGACCATGGCGTAGCAGGCAAAGAAGAGGATGGTGAGAGCAGAGAGGAAGGAGTTGAAAGCCGTAATGCTACCCAGATAGATGACGCCGATGCAGCTCGAGACAAAGGTGCAGAGGATGAGAGACTGAACGGGCACGTGGAGCTTGGACGACATCTTGGAGAACGTGTTTGGCAGTAGAAGACCGCCGTCTCGTGCAAATGCCCAGGCGACTCGACTTGCAACGGTGATCGACGTGACAGCACCATACATGGAGAGGATGATCATGAAGAGGGACAGCACGACGGTCGCGCCGTTGGATCGGGTCGCGTTCTTGATGATCTGAATGTAAGGTACACCGGTCGCACTGCCGAGGACGCCATCGATATCAACAATCGAGAACATGAAGCAGAGCGTAACGAAGAGACCCGTGATTGTACCGATGAGGACCGAGTAGACCATCGCCTTGGGCACGTTCTTCTCTGGTTCGATCGTCTCTTCGGAGAGATGACTGGGAGAGTCGATGAGGATGAACGCTCCCGAGGTGGCGATCTGACCCAGACACCACACGAGACCGTTCGAGCCCCAACCGGTGGTATTGATGATGTCGACGAAGACGAATTTGGCCGACTGATGCGTGGGTGCGCTTGCGGCAACAGTGATGCTGAGAACGAAACAACCGACAAAGAAGGTGTACAGGCCGACCTTGTCGAGAGCTGGCATGATCTTGACGGCAAAGACGTTGATGAGCAAGCCTACGATGAGCACAAACTGCAGCACTAGCCAGGTATGCCACTGTTTGATGACGTAGTCGGGGTGATACAGCACGGCAAGAGCAAGCACCTGCTGTGCGACGAGAGAGGCCCAGGTAGTAGCGGTCACGATCCAAGCAAACGTGTTGAGCCAGGCAGTGGTCCAAGCAACAAACTTTCGACTCGACTTGGAAGAACCCTCGTAAGCCCAGTCGAGGACGCCCCCGGATGTTGGGTAGGCAGACGCAAGCTCGGCGAGCGAGATTGCGATGCAAAGGATGCAGAATGCGCACAGGAAGGTCCCCCAAAAAAGTCCAGGAGGTCCTCCAACGCCCAAGACGGTGGTCATGGTCACGATCTGACCAGCCCAGTAGCCAGCACCGAGGAGACCGACTCCGAGCAGCGGCAAGAGACCGAATTGTCGGATGAGCGTGTCTGATTGACCCTTGTGGTCGTGCTCATTGTAGCTGACAAGATCAGTAGAGCGCTTTGCCTCGGCAGCTTTCGAATCCGAGGCGTCCGACATCCTGACCAACGAATGTGATGCTACGTTGTTGGGTGCTGCTGAAGAGGACCGGGTTGAATTGACGACAAGTAGGAGGGTCGTTGATTGCTCGATGATTGGCACAGCGAGCGTCGTGGCAGCTGACGATTCGAAGGCAAGTTGGCGTGACAGAGCGGGAAAGGGGGACGGTCCGTTCAGTCGCTCCGAGCGAGATAGTTTATCTAGATTTCATGTGGCGAGGTCGCGGGAAAGCCGGCACGATGGGTCTTCACTGTCGATGTCGGCTTGAGCCTGAGTCAAAGTGGCGATACCGGTTCGATGACCGTCACGAGGCGACGTATTACGTGGGCAAAGCGCTCAGGTTGGCATGAAGGTGCTTCGCTGCGTGAGGACAGCCAGTCAGAGCGTATGCGCACTGCTTGGCAATGCTTCTGTAGCGGAGTTGCGAGCAGATACGACGTTCGTCTTGGCTGCCGCAAACTCTCATGCCGGAGCACGGCTGGCCAGTCGGAACACGAACACATACACGGTAGATCTCAAAAAGTCGAGTCTTTCGCAGCGCGCGCAAAAGCCCGTATCAACACAGAACAGGCATCTTGCACTGAGGGCAGGTCGGTGATTGCGACAATGAGATCCACGTTGGACAGACCGGAATCATGCATCTACAGGGCTGAACTTTCAACTCGAGCATGGAGATTGCGACGGTCATGCGGGCAAGATGCAGGGTCTAGGGAACAAGCAACGGCAGAGGCCCGGCGGAGGAAGGAAGAGGCAGAATCCCAACAATAGCGCGGTAACAGCGCTTGAAGCGGCATGGGCAAGCCGCACCGACCATTGATAACCGTATGTGCGTATCTTTGCTTCACAACAGACGCCGACGTCGCTATGGGCGATTTGCTGTATCGCCGGGCTATCTTGGTTCCAAGCGCTATTTTGCAGCCGAGTTGATCTTTAGCCTGCGGGCCAATATTTGCGTTGCCGCGATTGACAGACGGCGGGCCCTGTCAAGTTGGGAGATAACTTAGCCAGGGACGCGCCGTAGCCGCGATACGCGCTCAGGCTCGTACTGGCTGCCAGATGCTGCCCCGTGACCGCGTTCTGTTCGGTATAACTCCTCCTCACGTACCAACGCTTCGACACGATAAGATAACTAGATGTGCTTGAGGCATGTACTTCGCTTCAGCCGAGACACTAGCGTGCTCACGAGTCACTTGACTAGCATGCTGAACACTGCTGCGAGTCAAGCCTGCAGCTTGGCTGATTTGACTGAACGGCGTTCCGTGGGCCGGTTTTGTTTTGAGCGAACAAGTTCCAGATCCGAGCATCGGCTCCATCAAGCTAGCTTGGGGATGTGACGAAGGCCTCACTTGTCATGCATTTGTACACAAAGGCTTTGACGCTTTGGCTGACATTGCCTTTGCTTTCGCCATCTTGGCTTGGCCTCGATCTCGACACGCCTCAGTGCAATGAACGTCATAGCCATATAAGGCACCTTGCTTGCGATTCGAGGGCGACAAATCGCTTCTACCTCCTCTGACTCGGTCTCGTCGAGTGAACCAGGACCAGCAAAGCCTGTTGCGACTCGTTACCTACAACGATGTGGTCATTCGCACTCCTGGCTGGCTTGTTGCCTTTGTTGAGCGCTTCAAGCCCCTTGCCTACATCTGACCTCGACGAGAGAAACGCCAACCACCACTACAAGGTCGACCCCAAGTGCCCATCGGGGACCACGCCCGGTTTCGAGGTGTACACGGCACGTTACGACGTCCCTGCCAAGGAATTTTCCGCCAAGGTTGGGTCCTTCTACGACGAGGTGTGGTATGTGAGTATCAGATCGCCAGTCTGGATCAATGAGTTCGACATCAGCTTGAAATGCTTACACAGCCAAACATCTATGCTTCAAATTGATCGCAGATTGGCTTGCCGCCCAACAAGACCCGAGGTCCCGATAACACCGTAGGCTCGATTCGGGAGATCGACTTTGCCGGAACCATCCTGCACGAACAGCTGATCAAATTTATCCACAAGCCTGCACTGCTCGAGCTCGAATGGCATCTCGTCAACGGGCCCATCAATGTGACCGGCGCGGTTGCCGACGACCCGCCTGACGAAAAGATCCTCTTTGGCAGCTACACAGAGGACTTGCGCGTCGAATCGATCTGCGAAGACAAGGCCACCTTTATTACCTTCACCGGTCGCTACTGCTTTGACAAGCCAGGTCCGGCTTACAAGGTATTTGATGTAGCACACACATCATCTATCGAGGCGGTCGCAAAGGATCTCAACGCCACACTCATCCAAGGCAACGGCACTTGTCCGTTGTAGGCTTTAGAGTTGCATCCGGAATGTTAAAACAAGTTGTCGGAAAAAAAACGACGAGCCGAATCATTTAAATAGAAAAGAAAAAAATGGAGGAAAAAATCAACTGCAACGACATGACAGTTTGAACAACCAACGAAGGCGCTAGAAGTCATTCATACTTTCTATGGTGATCCGATCATGGCCCAAGAGAAGATGATCACGAAGGCGATCGCGAGATTGTTCCAACTACACTACAGGAAGTGAGGCCGCATGGCCAAACCCGGTTGTTAAAGATTTGTCTATGCGGAAGAAAGATGCACGACCAAGAAGCGGTTAGGTGTTTGAGGCGAAAGAGGGAGAAGCTTAGTCAATGAACTGAAGCTTAAAGTCGGCCGTCGTCTGATTAGCAACAAGGAACTGTTGACTCGCGTCTGTGTCCTCCGTGTTCAAGCTCCAGTTGTATTGTTCTGAGTTGTCTGCGGTAGTATGGCCCAAGAAGTTGATCACGTATTTGCCATCCTCGTTCTCGAGATGGAAGAAGGAGGAAAGCTGGATTCCGCCATCGTTGATACCGCAAGGAGCATCAGGCGAGGGTGACGTGTTATTGCTGTTAGAAAACATAACAGCGCGGCCATGATAACCAATGTTATCGATGTAGTCGACGTTGTAGCATCCAGTCCGAGTAGGAACATCCGGGGCAAAATGACCGTAGAAGTTGCTGCTGTCAGACTCGAAGCCCATGTAGGTTGAGTTACACTGGTAAAAGCTGAATGTGTCGGTGCTAGCCGCGGTGCCGTTGACCAGCAATACCCCATTGAAGACCTCATCGTGCCCTGGTCGGGAGTCGCCTGCAAACACGGGCAGTATCTCCCCACTACCCTGGTTGACGAGCTCGACACGACCGCTCTTGACCAGCGTGCAAGGACCCATGGTCTTCTCTGAGACGTACTGGCTACCGATCTGAGCGATCAGCTGCTCGCTGCTCTTGCCCGTCTGTGGTTGATCGGCAAGGTAAGTCACCTCCAGCTCGCCGGTGTTGTCGAGGCTAAAGTGGTAATTGCCGCCGGCGCCAAAGTCACTTGCATTGACTGGACCGGCAGTCGCGCCAAGGAAAACGATCGAGAAGAAGAAATCGAAGCTTTGCAGCTGGAATTGGAAGTGTTGGTTGGCATCGACGCCGCCATAGCCTTGGTACCCGGAGAAGTCGCATGTGTCTGTGACGACAGCAATGTTTTGTCCCTCCAGAGGCCGGACAGCAAGACAGTTGCCATCGGGAGCCTTGATATAGCCTTGGTAGGTCTGAACGGAGCCCTCACCAAGGTAAGGGGGCGCGTCATAGCTACACTGAATGAAGTCAAAGAAGGTGCCGTTGTAAGGTGCATCCTTGGTCGCCACAATCTTACCATCCTTTGCTTCGAGCCATGTGGCTGGAGGCTGGCTTGAGTAGAGGCCAATTTTACTTGAGTTGAAACCGAGGGGCCCCTGTCCAAGACTCTGACACTGCGTATCCTGTCGTCGCTGCTGACTGTGCTGCGAAAACGGATTGACGGGAGCGCTTGAGACGTTCGCTGCCATGGCAAGGGCAAGCGCAGCGGTTGTGACCGCGATGGAGGTGCTGGAAAGCATCATGGAGGAAGCAGTATGTCTGAGGAAGGCGTGTTGTGCTGATGTTTCTGAAGATGCGAAAAGCTGCTGACTCAGGCCAGCTTATATGCTTTCTCGAGCCTCAACCTTTGCAAGCAAGTCAGCCTTGCAACAGAGACGCTTTCGATTCCGTACAGACTAGAAGAGCTCAGCTTTGGTGAAGAGGTGGCAATATCCGAGGGGAAGAACACGTTCGCCTCTCCGCCGGCAGCGTCGTTCCTGGAAACTGTTAAAACGACGAGGTATACCGGTGCGAGACGTAGACGCTTCCAGCCGAGATCCCGGAATTGCGGGATTCTGCGGCGTCCTTCCCACGGAAGCGTCGATCCGATCCACCATCGGCAAGTCATTGTGTTCGACTCTGGACATAGCACCAGTGAGTCTCTGAGACATCGTCCCGAAACAATGCTTAGGGACGATGTCTCAAAGACAGTTTCACGGAATCGAACAAAGACTGTCAGGTGCGCCAAATTGTAGCGACAAAGAAGCAAGTCCTAAGACGTAGCGAGCAAAGCGAGCAAAAAAGCATAAGCTGTTTGAAGGTAACACGTCATGTTGGTAACACGTCATGTTCGGCGAAACGGCCGGGAGGACAAGCAAGCGAAGCACCGCTACCCCGTTGTCAGGCCTGCTTCGTCGCGTTTCCCGCGGTATTCGACAGTCGGCGGAGTTGCGAGCTATGGAAGAGCGAGCGTGCCGTTCCGGCGGAGGTGGACCCTGATTTCTATTTATATCCACGCAAGACGATCACAAAGCATGCACAAAGGCGCGTACAAGCAAGAAATAGACGAGATTCAATTGCTACTTGACAAAGACAAGCAATGAAGAGCGCGAGACAGTCACGAGCAGAGCAGGAACGAACAGAGCAGGAGAGAGTGCAAAGGCTGGTATCATGAACCTCAGGCAATGTTGGATGTGGAGCGAGAGCGGGAGTGGTTCAAGAAAGAAAGCCGCTTCGCCTCCAAGCAGAGATCATGTTGTGAATGAGACTCGCATCGATGGGGACGAGCTTCAATTCGGCCTCACGCTGCAGACCGAGCTGCCCGAATGCCCCAAGAAGGCGATCGTTGGTGATAATCTTTTCCTTGTCGATCGGCCTATCACTAGCACCATTGCCGTTCGTCTGTGCTTGGCCGTACTGAGCTCGATAATGCTCCAGTAGCTTGATAGTCGGGTTGCGGCGAGGATCCGGGTCCGACTCTGACAAGCGACGCAGCCACTCGTTGCGTGCAACTACTTCGAATGAGTCTCCAAGGTTCTCGGGCTTCTTGAGCAGGTCGATCAGCTCGCTGTGGGAGGAAGCAGCGGAATTGAATACGTGGAAGACACCCTCGAGTCGGGGTGGCATGACCATCCCAGCCACAAAGAAAGCAGAATCGTCGACGGGCTGCCAAGAGATACGTTCGTCCAGTTCCGGAAGACAGCCAATGGTCTGAGCCGACTTGAGCATCAGCGGCCAAGCTTCGGTCTCGTTCCAGATGCCCGATCGACGATCGCCCACCATCTGTCCGATGCGAGCAATGACTGCGTCGAAGCCGTCACCGATGTGCTGCTGAGCGTACTCGCAGAGCTTCTCGACGACCCACTTGGAGCGACCGTATCCCATGTTGGCCGCATCGCCGATATCTACAGGATACTCTTCGTCCACTTGCGAACAGATTTTACCAGCGATCGTCGAGATTGAAGACGAAAAGATGAAGCGGGGCCTTGCCGTGGCTGGACTCTGAGCTACTAGGTTGATCAAATTCACCGAGCCCAGGATCGGGCTGCGGAACGACTGAACGGCCATGTTGAAGTTGACGGGCCAGCCATTGTGAATGACACACGTGGTCTTGCTGGAGAGAAGCTTCCACGAAGAGTCTTGCAGGCCGAGCTGAGGCTCGGCAAGTTCGGCAGCAAGACACATGATTGTGGTGCTGGTGGACGAAGCGAGTCGGTCCAGCTTTCCGAGACCACGGGTCAGCAAGGAGTCTTCGGTCCTCTTTCGGGCATCCTCGTCGTTCTTGGCACGGTCCAAGCAGATAACTGTCTCGACTTGATTGATGCGGGCCAGCTGATCCACAAGGTGAGCGCCCAGCGAGCCAGTGGAGCCAGTCAGCACCACCGTGTGCTTGACGGCGTCATCTCTGGCAGCAGCTGCGAGAGTCGGACGGTCTCGCTTTAGGATCTGACCTTTGAACTCTTCCAGGAGTTCTACGGCTTTCCGGTTCTCCGATCGCTGACTGTCGCCGTTGCTCCTGCCATTCGCTGTGCCAGAGCTGTGCTTGAAGAGGAACCCGGCAAGTTGAACCACGGAAGGATGTTCGAACACCAGGTTGCTGGGCAAGTCGGAAGGCAGCTCGAGCCTCTTTTGGAGCATATTGCGGACTCGGGTGCTCTTGAGCGAGTCAATGCCCAAGTCAACAAAGTCGGTGTCCTTCAAATTGCTCGTCAATGCAGAGACCGATCGCTGAGAGACTTCGGAGATCACCTGCGCAGTGACCTCGATGCTGGTAGCCATGTCGAGCAGCTTGATCTTGACGACGTCATCCATTGAATTCGATCCTGCTTCGTAGGCCTCGTACACTTGGTCGATCTCACGCTGAAAGGCTTGAACCACCTTTGGGCGGATGAGAGACCCCTTGTCTGCAGAAGGGAACGAGGTTCCGGCAGGGAGCACCTTGACGAGCTCTGGAATGATCTGCGAGTGCGAGGGTGCTTCTTTGTTGGCCGACTCGACCGCTGCCCAGAGAAGCTTGCTAAGTTTCTGTTCGACCGCTTCCAGAGAAGTTGCCTGAGCTTCGACCGTGCGAACAGCCAGGTCGGAGGGAACGATCAAGACACCGGCCTGGGAACGAATGGCGCCAAAGACGAGGCATTCGGCTACGTAAGGCGACGCTCGCATCTCGAGCTCCACGGGGACCGGATTGGTCTTCTCGCCGTTGATATGAACAAGTGTGTCGTCCGCTCTTCCGACGCACTTGTAGGCTTCGGGGATTGAAGGATGAGGAACAAAAAGATCCTTGGTGGCGTACGAGCCATCTTCACGGTTCGGCACGGTGATACAAGGCCAGCCTGCACGAACGATAAGCTCGAAAGGACCGGTCAAGTCGTCGCCGCGATTTTCGAACTTCATGAAGGGCCTGAAGCTCTTGTAAGGCCTCAGATATTCCCAATCCTTGTCATTGGCATAGTCTCTAGCGCTGGACATCACCCCTGCTATTTCCGAAGCGCCGTAGCCGAGGCAGAGGACGACATTGTATTGACGGACCAGCCTGTTTCCGATGTCACAAGGCATGAGCGAGCCTCCCGATACAACGAGCTGTGCGGATTGCAGAGCGCGCACGCCGGACTCGGATTCTGCGAGTAGCTTAATGACGTATGGAACCAGTGACAGAAGCCTCGCGCCGCTTGCCTTAATCGCAGCGACCAGCAGATCGACAGACAGTCTGTCGTGGCACAGATGAAGCTTTCTACCACGCAAGATCGCCGACCACAACGCCGAATGGCCATACATGTGGAAGAGTGGCAAGGTAGTGAAAGCGTCCGCAGATGAGAATGGGGTGTTCGAGACGCCATACAGGTACGATGCAGCCCTGAGTTGCCAGTGCAAGCACGATCAGCAATGCAAGAAGTGAATCAAAGTATGGTCAGCAAGCGTGATTTGGAGACAGGTAGTCGTGTATGGTGATCTGTCAGACTCACTTCAGGAAGTTTGGCTTAGGAAATCCGGTGGACCCGCTGGAATGAATCACAAAAGCGTCCTCGAGGCTCTCTTGATCGTACGATAGCTCCGTGGTGTATCTCCTTGAGTCCATGGTGGTGGCGAGGGAGAGCTTGAGGGCTTCTGACACGCTCGTCCATCTGACCAGGTCGACTGAGGCGAGACCTTGCTCTTCGAGCATTGGCTTGAGGGCAGAGATGGCTTCAGCTTTGTCGAAGCTGTACAGAAGGGTGGTGATCGAAGTGACCTTGACGAGATGAGCGAGAGCTGCGGTAGAATTGTTGGTGGACAGGTAAACGACAACGTGACCGAGACGGAAGAGAGCCAAGCTGTGAACGATGTAGTCGAATCCACTGGATGCGAAAAGACCAACAGCAATCGAAGGCTGGTTCACACGCCTGGGAGGCAAGGCGACGGCGTACGAAGCAGCCAGATGGCTAACCATATCGTCAACCTGTCCAAAGGTGTACTCGTCGTACGCAAAAGCTGAAGGATTGTTGGTGGCACCAGCTTTGGGGAATGCGAGGAATGTCTTGTTCGGCATGTTCTTGACTCGATCGGCGAACAAAGCATTGAGCGAAGGCCAAGCAAAGCGCTGGCCCGAGAGCATCGCCGCTCGTTCGTCAACGACTGGCATGATGTTGAGGTGAATCTAAAGACGTGTGTTAGCAGATAGAAGATGGAAAAGTTGAAGCAATTGGTAGATATGTGGATGTGATGATGTGATGGGCAACTGGGGTCGAGCTGACCTCTTCGAAGCTCTTCCGCGCCTTTTGAGCCTTCTTACCTCCAGCAGATTGGTCCTTGATGGTCGCACACCACAAGCAGTAAACCGCATCAAGCTCTGCTGTGTCGTCGTGCATCCTTGCGAGGACAACACCTACGTGAGCATGTATGTGAGTCGTGATCGTAATGATGTCTGACAGGTCTTGATCTATGCGTGAGCACAGATGGCTCCGCACGTACGCTAACAAAACATCTGATAGCACCTTTAGTCAAGTTTTGTCGGGTTCGAGATGCCGTTGATCTAAGAGCCTTGGACGACGTCAACGCCAGGGGCCAAGGCGCTGAATGAACGAACGAGCCGGCTCTGTGTCACATTTGACGTGGCTCATAACCCCGATGAGGCGTTCCAGGTGTCTCACGAGGATAGGGGACCCATGACGCCGGAGTGAGGGCCGTGCCAGGCTCGCTTCAGTCAAGCAGGCGGTGTTCGGCAGCTTTAGCGCGTCCCGAATATTCCCCGAATGGCTGCCAATGCCAAGACGCGGTCAGTGATTCGTAGACTTGCATCCCGACGGAAGAATAAACACCTCACAAATCCTCGCCAAGGAGGTGGTGGCCTGTCGGCATTTCTCTTCCGCCGCTGCATTCCACGGTCCCAAAAGTCAGTTTGGCAGCTGTACTCTGCGATTGCGAAACAAACACGCAGCAAGGATCACGGTAGTTGATGTCATGCCGTGCCAGCAATGCTTGACGTGAGCGTGGAGTCTTCGTTCAACAGTATCGCGACCGGCTGCCCTCTTCGTCAGTTCTGCATTCGGCCGCTTTGCGCTGCGAACTCACCGAAACCTGATCCGAGCGCGGAACAGCCGCTGCTTATGAGCAGGACTCTGGGCATTAAAGAGAGACCCGGTACGAGCAACTGAAGGAGACCCAAAGCACGGCCGGCTGTTGCACGGCTCGAATGACGTATCTTTTGCCGCTGCAGGCTGTCGCAAAATTGCTGGCATGGCGAGGCAATACGACGAAGCTTACTCCTTGGTACCACCAGTATATCTCCGAATTGGCCTGGTCAAGGGATCTGCGATCTTGCGGAGACCAACCAGTACAAATTGGCAGAGGGCCTGGTAGACATTACTGTCAGCGTGAGTTTGATGACGCTGAGCAACTCGAAGCAGCAAATCGAGCCGCTTACGTTGCAGCTCAGCTATGGGAGAAAGCCGAATCTGGAGATTGCGCGGCACAAAACCAAGGCTCAGCAGCGTCGAACCCCACCCCGTGATCGTGTCGGCTGCGCTAAATTAGATCCTTTGTGGGGGTCGGACCCTTTCAAGACCTCCGCGCCTCGCTTTGGCGCCTGTCCAGATGCGCCGACCTTCAGTTTGGCTAACATTCCATTGTCACCGCTGATACCGCTGCACACTCTGACGTCCCTTTTTCGTCGTCCGGCTTCGCAAGATTTGAGTCCTAGATCGTGCCCGTTCGATGTCGACGTACGCTTGTCTGCGCTTTTTGATCCTCTTTCGACTCCGCCCGACAATATATCTCTTCTCCAACCATTCCTTCCAATCTCTGAAAGGGAAGTTTTCCGTAAGGAGGGCGGATCAAGCAATAGCATCCCGGACGTTTCGGGCGCACAGCGCATGAATCTCGAATTTGTCTTTCTTTCTCGACGATTTTCCTTGTTGCAAAGGGCTGAGATTCCTAGCAGCGCCTCGCATCGAACGTCATTCGTCAACGCTGCCGTATAGGGAGTATGGCGATCGCGGATAATCAAGGGCTCTTTTGGCCGAGAATCGAAGTATTTGCTTTCAAGTCAACCGCAACGGTCGAGGTGAAGTGGGTCCGTGTGGCGGTGCTCTGGGAGCTAGCTCTGGCGAAAGCTCTGAGCTAGGGTTTGAGACCGGATCCTCTGCTGATTCCTCGACAGAATCCGCCGCGGTCGCCGCTCTTGCATGCGACTCTGCCTCAGAGGGAAGCTACCGACCAGCGTGTGTCTACAACAACTCCTGTACCGATCTCGATCCTCTTACCCTTCCACCACGAATGACGTGAACATCAACCAGTCCATGTACGACTCCCACAACACCCTCGCAACCCAAAATACCATCACCCATGACAACCTTGCACAATCCTCCCTCTCCATCGATCAACCTTCAACACAGACCAACGTCAACCAGTCCAACATCGCCGGTGACCAAAAAAGCTCGCAGCTCAATGACAGCTCTTCGTATACACGAAGGAGCATTGTCGACAACAGCCTTGACTCCACCGAAAATCCCCAGAAGGACAGCAACAAAACAGAAAGGTCAATATGCAACACACTCAAAACAATGAGAACAACTCCAGCTTGAGTTCCATTTCCAAAAGCAGTACGAGCGTCAGTAACACCACGAACAATGCCAGTAGCAACCCGGGGAGGCAAGGAGCTAGTGTCCAGTGCGGGGATCAGAGAGGAGCGGCTGCGAGCGTTGCTGTATAGGCGAAGCGCAGACTTAGCTCCGCATGACGTCGCAAGTCGCGTTTTGCTCCGTGAAGAGCTGTCTTCGTTCTTGCACCCTTGAACGTTTGCAATTTCTGTCACCTGCTCTTGCTGCCCTTCGCTCTTCTTGCTCCAAGTTTCTGACCGAAGCACACGCTCACTTCTTCTCCGTCTGATCCGGCTAGCAATGGGAATCGCTTTTCTTCACCCGTCCGACCACCCCCAGCATTTTCGTTTGCCACGATTGTGCTTGTGTGAACGTTCTTCGTTCATGGTTCTAACGACGATGCAAGAATGTCCCAAGCGTGAAGCCGTCCAGATTCCTCAGAGCTTCGGAACCTTGCTCAACGTAGGCGCCTCCTCGCCATCCCTCTCCTTCGCCTGCTTCTCCACCTTCGCCTCATCGCTAACCTCTGACCGGCTCATCTTGACCCAATCATCCGACTCGTCTCCGCTCCCCTCCCTCCTCCCTGTCTTTCCACTCTGCTCCTCCACCTTCACCTCCTCCTTGTCCACCGTCGCCTTCTCGCGAACCATACCAACTACGTGATCCATCAGGAACTCGCCCACCGCCTCGAAATACCCCTGCTTAATACACGTGTCGTTGTGCGTACCATCCAGGAAATCCTTCTTCACCTTGACTTTGCTCTTACACCTTTCGAAGAGCGAATCCATGTGTGGTGGTGGAACCAGTTCGTCCTGTCTTCCGGAGAGGAACAGAACCGGTGTTTTCGGCGAGACTTTACCAATCGCGATGCCGGAGTTCCAGTACTCTCTGCACAGGAATGTGAACGCTTTTACCGGCGGGAGCACGTGCGGGATGAGCTCGGGGATGCTTAAGAATGTGTTTTCGAGGATCAAGGCGTGGACAGAGGCGGGGTTTCGTGCGGCAAGGTCGATGGCTACCGCTCCACCGATGCTCTGTCCGTAGGCTACGAGGATGGTGGAGGAGAGAGCTGGGTGGGAGCGAATGTAGTCGAGCGTCGTTTGCGTGTCAATCTTGATCCCTCTTTCGTTGGGCGATCCGGTGGAAAAGCCATACCCTCGATAGCTGAGCATGACAACGTTGCATCCGAACCGCTTAAAGAACACGGCCGCCAGCGGTAATCTATGACCCATGTTGCCCGCATTCGCATGCAAGAACAACACCGTTGGCCTGCTGCCCGCCATCTCATCATCAAACACATCTATTGCCGTGTTGCCCGTCTGACTCGCCGTCGATTTACGCTCAACCTGCTGCGGCAGGCTCGCCTTTTCGTCTTCTACCGCTTGGATTTTCGGTGTTGGTTTGCGAGAGGCGAGCTTGGTCCCTTGCAGCATGACAAAGATGCGCAGCCGTTGCGAGTCCGGTGTGATGAGCTCTTCCTCGATGTAGGGCAGGTCGTACTCGTCGGGTGTGTTGACTTCGGCTTTGGATCCGGCGGGGAAGGAGGACGGGTAAATGAGTGAAGTTTGATAGCGATAGAGGAGACCGGCGGTGGAGATGAGGCTGACGGCGAGCACCCCGCCGACCACGCGGGCGAAGGAGCCGAGGGATGGAAGGTAACCCATGGCGACGAGGCGGTATGACTGATCGATCGGATGATCCGCAGCGGTGTGATACGGTCAAAGGCTGGATAGAACGTGATGGTTGCAGTGAACGTGGCTGCACACATGTGGAGTTCCTTTCCGACCGTGCTGGGCTGTGCTGTGCTGCCGTGGTTCACGGGCCATACATACTTCACATCGGCACCTCCGTTCCCATTTTTTTTGACGGAAAGGACCCTGAATTCGGATCCTCACTCTAACATTTCACCTTCTGCCGTTCAGATTCCACCAAAAAGTGGAGAGGAACACCATCTTCTTCTTGTTCTTCCTCTCATCCGCCTTCCATCCTCTCCGACTTGCGCAGCGATGACAACACCAACACCACGCCACCTCGAAACACCGCAGGAGACCACAGAACGCGAACGATGCGAGCAATGGAGCGACGAACTCTTCCGCACCTCACCCATGGTACGCTTCATGTCGAAGCACCTCTCCTTACTCGACTGTAACCCGCTCTCCCCGCTCCCCTCCTCTTCCTCCTCAACCACCCAATCACAACCAAAACTAGTCATCGCACCGTGCCCGCCATCAATAGCAGGCGGATTCTCTCCCTCTCAACCCTCCACCCCGACCTCTCATTCCTCCATCCTCCTCTGTTCGAACCGAATTTTTTCCAAATCGCACCTGCAAGACACACTTTCACACGAGATGGTGCACTGGTACGATCACTGCCGCTTCCTCGTCGACTGGTCCAACCTGCGGCACCACGCGTGCAGCGAGATCCGCGCCGCCAGCCTCAGCGGCGACTGCGGCTGGTCCAGAGAGTTCAAGCGCCGCAACTACGGGTTCAAACTCCAACACCAGAATTGCGTCAAGAGGAGGGCGGTGCTTAGCATCTTGGCTAACCCCGCTTGCGGTGGGGACAAGGACAAGGCGGAGAGGACCGTGGAGGAGGTGTTCGAGAGTTGCTTTGGCGATACTAGACCGTTTGACGAGGTGAGTCGACCCCCCTTCCCCCGCTACGGAATCCCGAGACACAGCCACTGACACCTCGCTTTTTACCCTCGACAGATCTACTGAGCTTGCCGCCTCACGCTCGCAATACACGCAGGCTCATCAAACCAACAAAGTCATCGCGTCTAAGATGCGTTCACCAAGCCTGACATTATGAGAGTTGAAACGTCCGACAGCTTCTTCCAGAAAAAGGAATCCAGCTGCAAACAGAGTATGAGATTACATTGTACAAACTTCGTCGACTGTCGACGTGGGGACCGGCTGATCGCGATCACGTCTTCTGCAACAGCCTTGAAGAGGATTATCTTTGGCTTGCGGTGCTTTACTCGAAAACCTTTACGACCTTGTGCTCGGACTAGCCCCGATACTGCCTTATAAGGACAAGTTGTTCCGCAAAGACGCTGTCAACATCCGCGATGAAGGACAGCTTCGCCAAGATGTTCACATTCTCGACTGCCCCACCTCGCGAAACCATCACTGCTCCACCCGGTCCGAAAGATTGAGCAACAGCGTAGCCAAACACCTCTTGGTAATATGATCGTTCTTCAACAGCTGCTGGAACGTCGCATCCCTCAACGGACCCGGTAGACAGGCCCGCAACGCCTCCCTCGCTCGTGGATTGTCGCTGAGACGCAGGTAACACCTGACTACGTGCTTGAGCAACCTCACCGCCTGACTCTCGACGATCTGCGACACCATGTTGCTCAGCACGGTACCCACGGCGTAGAAGCGCTCGTACGTCTGACAGATGTAGGCCAGGCCCATATCGTCCAACAGGATCTTCTGGACGATAAAGATGGCGACTGTCTTGCTGAGTTCCGAGCCGGTCTCCATGATGCGCAGGCAGAGCGGGATGATCTCGGTCGAGAGGAGGAAAGTGATGACGTCCGAGTTGTCGTTCTGCTTGACCAAGGCTCCGATGACACCCAACGACGTCAGACGCAGATACTCGAACGGACGCGTTTTGGATGTCGTGTTGAGGAACGGATAGAGGAAGAGCGGAATGTGCGCTTGCAAGAACAGGCCGCGCGTCTCGCTGTGGCTCGCTACGCATTGAAGCAGAGCGAGCGCATTGCAGACACGATTGCTGGCCTGTGCTGTCAGAGCCGGAGGCGACAGGAGAGGGTAGACCGAGACGATTTCCTGGAGCAGCGATGACATGACACCAAAGCTGTGCCAGAGCACCAGCGCAAGATCCTCGTACTGCTCGCGCTTCTTGCTCAGCTCTAGCAGCGCATGCTCACGCTGGGCCGAAGAGCCGGGCAAGTTGTCGAGCTCGCTGGGAGAGGTGGCGCCTTCGCGGTCGCCGTTGCTTTGATTCGATTGCGCATCGCCGTTCTTGGCTGCAGTGCCGTCGGCGGGGATGCTGGTGGCCTTGTTGGCGGTAGGAGGCGAGGCGGAACCCTGCTTGCGGTTGGTCGCGTTGGGTTCAGGTCGCTGACAGAGCTGCGTGATGAGGTGGTAGACGCTGAGTGCGGTGGTGGGTGTGCCGCCGGGACCTGTGCCTGCAGGCATTGTAGGTCCAGCGTTGGGAGGCGGACCGGCAGCGGAGAGCATGGAAGGACCCAGATCGACACCGGCTAAAGAGCCTCCCATACCGGGTGGTGGAGCGCCACTAGAGCCATTGCTGATGCCGTTGGGGTTGTTGCCGTCGACGAGACCGTTGCTGAGCATGGGACCGGGGCTCTGGAGCATGCGGCCGTGCATGCTGCCGGCGGTGCCAGGACGGCCAGCCATGTGAGCGAAACTATGTCAGCGGTCGAAGAAATGCCGGAACCAGCAGTCAGGTTTGAGCTCGAGTCTCGACACAGAGTCGACGCGGCGTTTGAGCTGCTCGATCGAGTTTGGGTAGCGCAGAATCGGGTTCAGCGTCAGGATCGAGGGCAGGCGAGCATTCCAGCAAAGGGTATATGTGAGAACACAGAAAGCTGAGCAGTATCGATGGCAGCAGTAGAGAGTGGCCGTGGTGCAGCCTTTTTGGTGATGATTGGTCTTGCGAGAGAAGGGAACTCGAACGTGCTGAAAGGGGGTTATGCAGTCTTGCGATGTCGATGCCACAGCTTCTTTTTGGAAGTGCAAAAGTATTGGTACAGCCGAATCTGAAGGAGCGCTTTCAAGTCGATGCGTCTGCGAGAGGCTCGAACTGCCAGGCGAGAATGAACAAGGTTGTATTCCGATGATCTGTTGAAAAACGATAACGGGATACGATCCGAGTCGCTTCGTCCGTTGGTGGTCGGGCAAATGAACGTCGCAGTGGGTTGCAGATCGCGGTGGTGAGACGATTCCTCGGTGACGCAGCGTAGGAAGAGCCGCAACAATCAATCGGAAGGAACGAAGAAAAGGCAGACGAGAAGAGGGGACCTGATAGATGCAGAGGGAAAGGTGGTGGCAGTGATCCGAAAAAGCTGACCAAAGTGTTGCTCGTGTCTCCGATGCAGATCGAGTGGAATGTGCAGCCTTCAGTTTGGCCTGGCTGCTTCGCTATGACGGCACTCGCTCGGTTTCACCCTTTCTCGCGAAAGAGAGGTGTGATTTCATGGAAGGACAGGTCCGAGAAAAAAACGAGTCCAACACCTGCCTTTTCTAAGATCACATGCCCGATGAGCTCCAGGGCCGAGTGCAACCTGGCACCACATTTTCTTCCTACATCGGGTACTGGTCCGAAGATTTCCACTCCGAAAAATCCCAATGATTCGAATTCAACGATCACACACAGACGACTCGATTACAAACTCACAGAGTGTCGGAGACGAGAAAATTTAAGACTCGGAATTCTGCACTACAGCGTCAGCCGCGGCGGCTACGCTTTCGTCCGAATGAGAGCTGCTCCTCCACAACGAGTCGTTTGTGCTGCTCAAGACACAAATCGATGACTTCTCATACGGACTGCACAGAGCAAATCGTGTTGAGAGACACGAAGGAAGTTTGCTTCCATCTAGTGGTGCATCCAATGTAAAGAAGTGGTGATCAATGAGGAGCAGAACCAGGAGCGCCAAAGTACTTGTTCCATGACCTCGTCGATCTCATCGCCAACCCTTCGACCGTTGAAGGCGCGGGTCTTACATCCAGGAAGAAGCTCAATCCAGTCCTCTGCTGTGCGGCTGCACTGAACCTCTCCCCTATACTCGATGCGTCTCCCTTCTGTTCCTGCGTTCTCCCCGTGTAGAAATCGATGATGTACCTCACCTGTTCACCGTTCGACCTCTCCACCGTCCAATCGTGTCTGTCGAACGGATGCTGATAGCCCGCCAACCCGTTCAACCACGCTCTCCACGTCAGATCCTTCGGCCTACCCTTGAACGACACCAGCTTCGTCGCTTCCTTGCCTCGTGCCTGACCGGTCCACATCCTCTCCCACGCCAAGATCTGCTGCCACGCCTGCTCGTTGACCGCGTTGTGGATCGGCACCACCACGTCCATATCCGCTACCTGCGGGTTCTGATTCTTGCGCTTCATGGCGTTGTAGAACTGCTTGGCTGAAGGGTAGACCCATTTGCCGTCCGAGTCTTCGCCGTCGGTGGGCGAAGGTGTCGAGGGCGGTTGCGCCGCTTGTGCAGCAGTGGGGTTGGCGAGAGGTGAGTAGCTGCGCGGTATTGACGAAATCTCACGGTCGCTGGATAGTCTTGATTCGTCGTTCGTCGCGTATCGAGTTGGTCGCGATGGTCCGGCTTGCGGCTGCTGTGCGGTGTTGGAGTCCGGCTGGAATGGATGCGCTTTGCCTGGGTTCGCCTTGAGCCACGCCTGACGTGTTTCTTCGTCGACGGGACACCTGTCCGCCGATGCCGCGGCTGTGGAGCTCGATGATGAGCTGAAGGGCCACATGACGCCGATGTGATTCGATTCTGTGTCAGATGGGATGTGACAGGGATGACGGAGGTTCTCGCGGCATCTTCCTCACTATCACCTTCCCAAAAAAGTCGACAGGACTGCGGAAGTCGGACCCTGATGACCAACGCCGTGAAGTCTAACATCGCCAAATTCATGGCGACTTTATTGTTCCCAAGTGACACGCAGAATATGGCCCTCGTTCTCACATGCTTGCCTCCTGCAACTGCTGCTCGGCAAGCAAATGACAAAAAGGGTCGGTCTCAGACAACGCTAGCCTCTGTATAATCTCGGCACTAACACGATCTTCCACACGCCCGTACCGGTTCTCGCCGTCCCGAGATAGCGAACGTGACCCAATTCGATTTCGTGCAGGGCATCACAACCTTCGCTTTGCAATACAGTCTGCGAATGTTGTCTTTCAGCGCCGTGAGGCTAATGCCTCGCAGCGAGTCATGCCAAGTCAAACAGCTCTCTCAACTGCGCCATGGTGTCCTGTGGATTCTGCACGGTGTGACCTGTCGTCCTTGGGTCTTCAAAGATCTCGTTATCGTTGCCTCCCTTGTAGGTCTTGTCGCCGAAAAAGTGGATGGCGTCCCAGCCCAGATCCGAGGCCGTCTTGCTGCTATCCACCTTGGCCGCATCTACGAGAGCCACGTTACGAAGCGCATATGTCTTGTCCCAGCCATGCGGGAACACATCAAACGAGATCTGACCGCCGATCGAGTAGGTGAGACCGTAGTCGGGGAACTGCTGCTTGAGCGCAGAGACAAAGGTGGTGCGGATGTTATGGATCTTGTCGTACTTTTCAAACTCGATTCGCTCGTCGATGCTGTAGCAGGGGAAGCATCGATGGTCAGTACATGCAATTCGATTGAGACATTGTTGCTCGTACTTACGAAGCGTTCCTTCCGATGGGCGAGATGTTGATCATGCCGTTCCTGAATTCGATAAACGTGCCGCGCATGACGGGCACGTCGAGTTCCGAGATGTACCTCAAGCAGAACTTGGCCAGCTTCTTGTACTTGTCCTCTCCCAGCCAGCCGATGAAGCTCTGCGACGCCAATGGCTGGCCATCCTTGTAGGCGGTTAAGCCATTCTCAGCGAACACGTAGTCGAATTCCTGGGTGAAGTCCGTCGAGGTGATCTGGAGCTGTTCTCGGACCTTTTTAAGGTCGCTACCGCCAACGACACCAATGACGCACTGATTGCGCAGCGAGGCGAGGAGTGCGTGGAACTCGGGTGTGATGGATTGACGCGCGAGCGAGAGAGTGCCGTCGACGTCAAACAGGCATAGCGTGCGTGGATGCTTGCGGTCGCTGTACTGAGAAGCCATCTTGAAAGTCGGTGATATGACGAAGCGGAAGAACACGGAGCAGAAAGATGATGTCGTCGAGAAGGTAGAGGATGTGGACGAGGAAGGCAAAAGCGAAAGGTGTTTCTTATGAGCAATACAACAAAGTCTGTCGTGCGTTTTGACCAACAGGGTCCATTCACACACAAGACTGTTGCTTCTGCATGCAGCTCGGCAAAGATGGTTAATCTCTTCTGCGGCGCGTACTCTGGTCTAAGTTTCGCAGTACGGCTTCTTCGACGACGCCATCGCTGACCCGATCTTTCACGTTGGCCGCTAACTGCACATCAGTCTGACACGGTATGGTCACGTTCTTTCTGCTTCTCGACACGTCACATCGCAACACGGTCACACTTCCCAAAAAGTAAGTCGGCAGTGCCGATCTTCCACGTCGCTCAGCTCGGGAACTCCGACGCTGCCATTCCAATTGGAATTCGGGCAAACGCGCCTGCAGAAAACGCCGAGAAGCGGGAAGGCTTCCAATGCAGAGATCAGGGAACACACGTCGACTCGCCAACGGAGACCAACACATTAACACTTTTTCCTCTTCTTTTGGCTCCACGTATTCAGCCCACAAGCGATTTTGACACCGTAACTCGAAGCGGCTTCTCAAGCTTTGACAGGTGGAACGGTAACTCTTGGCATTTGTTAACATTGACGTGGAAGGATGGATCAGATCGATCTGCATGACACACACAGTCGCTCGACACGAGGCGGAAGTTCGTCATCGACGACTGGTACGGCGTCCAGCAGTCCGACTCGTTGTCGGCTCCACGAAATCGTCGTCATCATCTCCGTCTACGATGGCGTCTCCGTCATCGTCGTCGCTGATTTGGATACTCTCCTGCTGCTCACGCTGGCGCGAACGCTGTGCGCTTTGCTTTGGTGCTGCACCTCTCGCTGTGGCTGCTGCTGCTGATGTCGTCGCCGTGGCTTTGCTTCGTCCCCTCGCCGATTTCGAAGTGGCACTTTGCCTGCTGAGCATGTCGAGCACACTAGCGTGGCCTCTGGTGGCTGGAGGTGCAGGAGTGGAAGCATGCTCGTCGATGGGCACATCCGATTCTTCCTCTTGTTCTGCATAAGCTGATTCTGGACCGAGGAACGTCGGTGCAGGCGCTGTGGCGCGCGAAGATGACGCGGATGCTCGAGCTGGCGTCCTCGCAGTAGGTGCTTTCTTCGCTCTACTGGTCGAGGTTGTAGCGGCAGCACGTCTCGTGGCACCCCTACGTGTGCTGCTTGCAACGCTCGCCCCATCGTCAAAGTCGTCTTCCTCCTCATCATCATCTTGCTTGGCAGCACGAGCGTTTCTCCCCCTACCGGTCTCCCTAGCTGGTGCAGCAGTTCGAGGTGGCTCCAAGTCGTCCATCATCGAGTCATCTGAATCGTTACCCCTCGTAGCTGCGCCGCTTCGCCTCGCAGCGCCCGCTTCCTCCAGGTCCATCTCCATCTCCCTTCTCTGCTCCAATTGCTGCTGTCGGATCCTTTCCAGCTCTCCGTCGATCCGCGACTCTTCCGGATCGATCGTCACCAAGCCTTTCACCGTGTTCTTGAGCATCTTGGTGACAAAGCTGTCGATGGCTTCGCGGTCGTCCTTTTCGACAAAGTTGAGCACGGCTCCTTCGAGGCCTTCCGGGTTGAGAATGTCGAGGTTTTGTGCCTGGAGGTATTCCTGCACGAGCTTACCAACGTCTACTTTTTCGAGTCGCTCGATCGACAACAAACCTTCTTCCTCGACATCGACGTACGCGCTCGGTCCGTTGGCACTGTCATCCTGATTGCGGCGTCCGCTCCTCACGTTCTTGCGCTTGGTGAATTGGAGGACCTCCTTGGGATTGGCAACTTTGCCAGCGAACTCCTGGCCAAACCGTTGCGGGTTGCTGATCTCCTGATTCGTGTACTCGACCCGCAGCCGAATCAGTGGGAGAGGCATCTCGCGTCCTGGGTACCGCTCCTTGAACTCTTGCTTGGCGCGGACGATGAGACCATCGACCCTCTTGCGCAAGAGCTTGATGATATCGCTTCGTTCTGACGACAGTCCCGCATCCTCCAGCTCTTCAGACAGCACCATGTCGTCCATCACAAACGGTCGAACCGTCTGCAGTGGAATTGGCTCGATCAAAAAGTCGGTCTTTTCGACATGGATGATGGCCACGCACTTCTCCACCGTCTCTCCCTGACTCAGGCTCGTGGCCACGCTGCTGCCCGGCTGGGTGATGTGGTACCCCTTCTCGGTCACGGGCTGGGGTTGGATCATCTGTTCGTGTTCGTGTCCCCACACGACGAGATGGATCGAGTCGTCAAACATGGTCTCCGGCACACATGCCTTGGGGTTGTGCGCTACGCGGTTCTGATGGACGCAGAGGATGTTGAACCACGAATCCGGCTCTTCCTGCGGACGATACATGCGTACGCGGTTAGCACGGAGTTCAAAGTGCATTCGCTCGTCCTTGATGTTGCCCATGCCGTAAAGGGCAAGTTTCGTCTGACCCTTTTGCAGCAGGACGGGCTTGATGCGGATCCCCTTTTCTTGAAAGGCGCCGCCTCGTGCCGTTCTGGCAGCCGACGCGCCTGCTGCAGCATCGTCGGATGGAAGCTCGACTTTGCCAAAGTAGTTGATGAGGCCAGACACGGACAGCAAATCGAGCGCTGATAGTGCACCTGTTTCACCAACACCTTGCGGGTCGTCGTGGTTGCCGTGAATGGAGAAAACCGGGATGCCCACGTTGAGGTTGGGATCTTCGTAGTTGATGGCTGGGAAGTGCTTGCCTGGCAGCGCACCATCGTTGGGATCGCTCAGCAGTTCGATCGAGATGGGTTTGTCGCCGAGCGTATACTGCCGCAACAATGCCATGGTCTGATGCAGGGTGGCACGACTGGGCTTGTTCTCGTGGAAAAGATCGCCGCCGAGCAAGATCAGGTCGACGTCGTGCTGAAACGCCAGCTGAAGGATCTCCTCGAAGGTGCGGATTGAGTCTTGACCTCGGACAGGATCTCGCTCCATGTAGCCGATGTGATTGTCCGTAGCCAGCATGATCTTGATATGATCGGCCTCAGATTGCGCAGAGAAGGTGGAAGGTGGCGGTTGATGTGCATCGTTGTCGTTTCCTTCGGCGGCGGCTTGGTCGACCTCTGCTGCGGCTACCATCTCAGCATCAGATGGAGCATCTTCCTCGTCATCGTCGTGTGTGGTTGTACGTCTTCTCGAAGCACGAGCGCCACGGGTCTGCTGCGATTGTTGAGGCTCGTCCTGACCCCGATCCTGAGAAGATGAAGACACCAGCTCGTCCTGTTCTTGGCTGTGTTGCTGTGACTGCGACGGCGCCGACTTTTGCGTGCCAGTGCGGCGTGTTAGTCGCGCCATGGCTACGGGTGATGCCAGCGATGGAGACGGCGCAATCAATCTCGCCTCGCCGGAATCTCACGGAGGTTTATGGTATCGCGAATCACAGGTGCGCGGCCTGGCTCGACCGCCTTGATTCAGCGCAAACGCTGAGCCTGGAGCTTGCAGCTACAGCACACGGACTGGCTGTCGATCGCCAAGTCGAGACCGATGAAGGAAACTGGCAGATGATGGGGTGGAAGTTGCGATGAGGAACGAAATACGGCAAGGCCGAAAGGCTCAGTCAGCGAGCAGCCTGAGCTGCGCCAGAGCAAGCTCGGATCTTCCGAAATGAACGAAACCAACACCTCTTTCTTCAATTTCCAGCGCGTGACAGCCGAGGACCCTTGAAGCGACACTCAAGTGGAGGGGAACAACGACACCACACTTCGTCATCTTGACTCGATCCATCTTCAGCCTGTCTGTCATTCTCTTTCATTCCTGTTGTTCGAAACACAATATACTCAGAGCAGACGCTGATATCAAGGAGCAGAGATCGTAAGCCGTCATGCTCGAAAGTTGCGATTAACCGAATGCATATGATTTGCTTGTATGTGTGTGACGTGAAATGAGTGAAAGGGCTAATCTGCCCACGCGCCTTGGATGGTCTTCATACACTTGGCCCATCGCAACAGCCTTCCGCCCTCTTCTGGTGCGACGATGGGGAGCAGCGTCAGATCGCTACGTCCTCCTCCTCCTGCGCCGCCGACGACCATGCCTCCGCGGTGAAGGTGCGAGTCAAATTTGGGCTTCGAGAGTCGACGACTGCGCTCGTATGCCTCGATGCCTGTCTTGTCTGGAAAGCTTGCGCCGTCCCATCGACCACGATCGACGTAGGGAGAGATAGTGTCTTCGTCGAACGCATGTCCTAGCTCAATATCGTCATGCGCGATGGCGGCCGCTTCTTCCAGGTTGGACGCCGAGGCAGAAAGTCGACGTTCGCCCGACAGACGCGCCAACTTGTCTTCGGCGTCGCACCAGAACAGCTGCCAGCCTGTGCCCTTGGCATCCGTGTCGATGCGCACGAACCCGTTCGATCGCTCGTAGTACCAGCGATTCACAGGGTTGTTGGAGCGCGACTTCCACACCAGGTCACGACCGGTGCCGTAACCGCCCAGACCACCGTTGTCGTTGAGTGCGTCGAGCAAACCGAGACCCTGCACCTCGTCACGCAGCGCTCCCCACAGGAAGTCGACCGTACCCGATCCTTGCAACGACGGCAGCACGGCGAATTTGTCCAGATAGGCAATGGGCTCGACGGCGTCGCGATCGTCGTCTGGCGCATATTCCTTGGTAACGATGGCCGCACCCTGGTAGTCGCCGGTGACGATGGCGAAATCGAGCGACTTGCGCAGCCTGTCGTAGTAGCTCTGCTGGTTGAGCTTTCGGCGGAACGATGCTTCGAGTAGAGCAGTCATCTTGTCAAGGTCGATCTTGTTAAAATCTTGGATCACCTTGATGGGTAGACCAGGACGGATGATGGTGGGCGTGTGACGTACGTCCTGCTTGTTGGCCAAGAGTCGGTGTGGTAACGAAGGGCTGTGCGCAGCCTTGTTGGTGATGAGGTTGGCAATGAGCGATCGCGGCGAGCGATGCGTGACCAAGACACCGGATGAGGTCTGCGGCATGTACGAGAGGCAGTCCGAGATCGCGTCAAGGTTGCGCAGAGCAGTCGGATGCGTCTGATCCCAAACGAAGGATTGCTTGATCTGGTGATACTCCGAGGCCAAATTGATGGACAAGTGAGGGTCACCACCACGCGCATGCGAGGGGATGCCACCTTCGCGATTGATGACCATGAGTCGAAGAGGCATCATGTCCACTTCGCCACCCATGAGCTCGGCTAGCGGATCAGCATTTGCGCTTGCCGATGAGATCCGTGTACTCGATGCTTGGTCGTCTTCAACTTGTCGGGTAGCGGCGACAACCATGTCTCTGGCGAGCGCGACCATCACATCATCAGCTCGTACACACAGCGTTTCGAGCGTACCGTCTCTTTCGTTCTCAAAGAGAGCGTAGGGCGCCAAGACGGGGATCTGGTTGGACGCAAGAGCCGACCTGATCGAAAAGAGGTTGTCATCCGAGACGAGCGGTGGACGAAGGCGTTCCTCGCCTCCGCTACCGTAATGCACTGTCGGCGAGACCGACGATGAGCCAGCGACGACAGCATCGCCGGGCTTTACATCGCTCGCTGCCTGAGATTTCTGGAAGTGACGTGCCTCTGCTTCGACTTGGGCAGCAGTGCGAGCGTCGACTCTGACAACTGCCTGCGGGAAAGGCCGCGCCATGGCACCTTTGCGATTGAGGCTGTCGGCGAGGCGCAATGTTTCGGCCATCACGCGTTTGCGGAGGCGCTCCTGTTTGCGACCGAGTACACTAGATCGACACTGCTCGCTGGCCTTTTGCTTACCCTTTACAGACGAAGGAGCGGGATGAGCGGCGAGCCAGTCGCCCATGCGCCTCTCTTCAAGCTCATCACGGCCCGCAACGAGCTGGCCATCGCGGTCAATGTCGGCAGAGATCTCTGGCCAATCGTCTTGATCGACAACGACGACGCTGACAAGACCGAGACGCTTGAGATAGACGAGTCCCTCTGCGATTGAATCGAGCTGACGATCTGTGAAAGGTCCTTGCACTTTGACCAACGCCGTGTGCGAATCGGCCAACGCGTCCGACACGGGTGTAACTTGTGGAATGGCCACAGTGGAGCTCTCCTGCGGCGTAATTTGATGCGCTGCAGATCGAGTCGCAGCATTCGGATCGGAGATGCGGCCAGAGGTGGTCTCGGGAGCGGTGCGCTTTTTTTGTTCCTGCAGGATGTCGAGGATAGCCTTGGGTAGCTTCGGCGAGACCTCGGCTGAATGAGCGTTGGCGTGAGGGTCATTCTCGAGTGTTATTGAGTGCTGTGGATCCCAGGTGGTGGTCGAGGGATTGTGCAAGCTGCCAGGGTGGGCGATGTTGGACGGGATGGGAAACTCGGGATGACTGGGCGCGTGTGCGGATGAGGATTCTATGCTGCTGGAAATGCTGTCGGATGAGGCGAGCTTAGGATGAGGCGGCTGAGGCTGTCGGGGAGGAGCCTTGCGCGGTGCGAAGCTGTTGAGATAGGTCTTGGAGTCTCGAAGCGAAGGTTGGGCTTGGAGGATCTCCATGATCAGGTTCTGCATGCGTTTCGACATGTTTGACAGATGAGAGTCGGCGTGATCCGATCGGTCGGATTCAGCGGCGAAATTGTTGGAGACGGAGACGGAGACAGAGCAACTACAGCGTCAGTTGATCGGGTCGCCTACCGACGAGAGTCTCTGCCACCTGCACGATCTTGCTATGACAACAGCCAAGTGTGCAGGATCACGGTGACACGTCGAATGCCATGAGCCAAAGGTGTCGAGGGATAAGTGAGGGGACGAAAGGAGGATGATGGCGAGCAAGCAAACAGGTAGCAGCCAGATGTGTCCGTGGTTTGCTCAAATAGGAACAGCATCAGAAGAATCTGGCAGCTTTGGTCTTTTGCAACGTCTTATCGCAATCGCACGGTGCGGAAGAGCCGCGATGTGTTGACTGTTGACTGCTCTGGTGACTCGTGTGGAAACCAGCATTAAAATGAAAGATCGCGGTTCTCCTTTTTTTTGATTTTGGATTTTTCCTTTCTCGACTTTTGTGAACCCTGAGTTGGATGTCGGAGCTGCGCTACGCTGCCCTGACTTAGGTTAAGCCGCGCTTGGCCGACGAGGCTAAGCTAAACGACCATTCAACGTCACATTGAGCGAAGGAAAAACAGCAGCAGGCAGCACAGCGCAGTATGACTTTGAACAGCTGTCCTGTCAAGGAAAGAGCACCATCGACCTCCACCCTACGCGATCCGGCCAAGCTCGACATCTTCGCTCCGAGCTGCCGTCCTGCTTGCTCACTGCCTCTTGGACCCAACCACTTATGCCGCACGTCGACATCGATCGGCTCATTGACGTGAAGATGTGTGTTTGCTGCCCTCATCATGCCATTCGTACCGGCCCGATTGGTCGTGTCTGTGAACTCACCCTGTGCATTTGACGTTCCAATTCGTACGCCGAGGGGTGGCTCGTACTGAACCGTGACGACTGCTGCGTTCGAGAGTTGAAAGGTGATGTAGTGGATGCGGATCGTCCCTCGTCGCGCTGTCGATCGAAAAGGTGACCCTCATTCTCGTACAGATCCGAATAGAAGGTGCGATGTGGCCAAGTCGGACTGCTCAATCGTGTTGATCTGGTCCTGTGGCTGCCGGCAAGCCAGCCTCGCAAGGAGAAAACCGGTCTTGTAGGCGTTTTGTGCAGCATGTTGCCCTTCGAGGAGGGTCCGTTCTCGTTGTTGTAGATGAAGAGCAGGTATCGAGGATGTAGAGCCGAATTGGCGGCGTAAAGAAACATCAATATGGACCGGCAAGATGTGCAGACATATATACTTCTCACGACGCTCATAGAGCTACTAGCAGCTTGAGACTCGATCATTCTGCGCCGCCTTTCGGCACACGGTCTCGCGAAAGCACAAAGAGAGGAGGCGTGCTGATCTGCAGCGCGTATAAGCGCGTGTGCTTGCACGTCTCATTGGAAGGAGGCGCATGATGCATGATGCACGAGCAACTCGAGCTCAGCTCACGTATGAATCTCCAAGGCGGTTCGAAGGGCATAGCGATGTCATTTGCCGCCCTGGACCCTTGTTGACGGCGGCCACCGCACGCTCGTCAAGCACAGCCGATGCTTTGCTCTGTGATCTGCCGGGCACCAAGAAATTCAGCGAGCTCGAGCGCGACACCGGATCCCCTGAAAGTGGAACAACAGTAGCACCAAAACATGACAGCAGATCAACGAGCCGTGTGGAAAGAGGGTTTGGGCTGAGGGTTGATCGCAGGCCGCGACGAACTAGCGCCGTTTGCTGTGGAATGAGCGTGTCTGCCGCGATGGCGAGTCTAACACCTCATCGAAAAATCATAGACTACCGTGACACCTTGTCTAGAGTACACAGTACACTTTCTGTCACTTCGTTGATCAATGGACGAGACGAACGCTCCCATTTCGGGTTGTGACCCGATCCATTCCGGACGCGAGACAGCATGCTCGCTTGCTCTGTCTTCGTGGGCGTTTCGAACGCTGTCCACGCTGAAAAGCAAGCTGATTGGGCACGACCTGTTCTTGGCAAATGCACGAGTGCGTCAAGATTTCTTATCAGATATCCAATAGCGAGGCCTCTCGGTGCCAGCATTCTCGGGCCACCTTTTGCCCTCGAAGACGATCTGATAACGGGGTCACTCCCTCGGCGTTATCGCCGTTGTGTCATTCACTCGACAGGAATCGCCCGGTAGCAGCGATCGACTTGCCAGAAAGTGGACGATGGTCGAGCGCTTTCTCTTGACCCCTAACTGTCAGATCGCTCTATATCACATTCCCAATGACTCGGCTACTTCGGCGAATTCCTCGGGCCGCAGGCTTCTGTGAGGCGGCGACCCTGACTCTCGGCAATCGACGCACCATGCTCCCTTATCGCTTCGTCTTGGACGCTCACTGCCACCTTCTAGATCAACTCGCCCATCCTCTATACTTTAGTGGTTCTCGACAATGGCAGCTGTGAAGCGGAAAGCATACGCAGATCTGGAGAAAGGCTCTACCTCCCCGCACATCGTAGCCCTGGCGATCCACGGCGGAGCCGGCGGCACCACCACGCTCGACATGCCGCCCGATCTTCTCGCTGCATATCGGATACGTCTCCGCACAGTCCTCGTCATGACCTACGAGCACAACCACACAGCTTCGCTCGACGCCGTCTGTCATGCCGTCTCGCAGCTCGAAGACTCGCCGCTCTTCAACGCAGGCAAAGGTGCCGTGTTCGATCTGGCTGGACACACGGTGTGTGAGAGCTCTCTGATGACCACGCAGGCCGGTTTCAACTCCAAGACGGTCGCAGTCACAGGTGTGCGTAGGACCAGGAATCCAATCTTGCTGTCCAAGGTCTTGCTTGAGAACAATAGGGAGCTCGGAGGACACGCGTTCTATTCCGGTATGGAGGCCGAGAGGGCAGGATGGAAGTACGGCACACAACGCGTCAATTCAAAGTATTACTGGACCAGGAGAAGATGGCTAGAGCACAAGAGAGGCCTCGACTCGAAGCTTGCAGATCTGGCCGAGAGTGATGCTGCCACTGCAGTAGAAGAACAGGAGGACGTCGATAAAGATGCAGAGCAGGGTCTACCAGCGTACTCAGATTCAACGAGCCCTTTCGAGCCAGAGGTGCTAGACGAGCACGAGCACGAAGATCAATCGATCCTTGACCGATATGCCCACCTTACTGACTTCCTACCGCAAGGCACTGTTGGAGCAGTCGCACTCGACTCGAACGGCAATCTCTCCGTCGCTACCTCGACCGGCGGCAAGACCAACAAATACCCTGGGCGTATTGGAGACACTCCTTCTGTCGGATCTGGATTCTGGGCCGATGCCTGGTCCGCTCCAGCAAATGCTCGCCATCACAGGTCCAGCGGACATCGCTCGTTTATCGGTCGTCTCTTTGTCTCGCTCTTCCGACGGACCAAAGCCAAGGCTGATGGAGACAAACAGCAAGCAATTGCAATCTCTGGTACAGGCGATGGTGATTTCTTCCTCCGCACCAACTTTGCTTCCTCTCTAGCCCATCGTATCAAGTACGGCAACACGTCTTTCGACCAAGGCATCGAATCTTCCATGAAGGAGCTCGTCGACCTGTATGGAGCGGAAAAGGGCGTTGGAGGTGCGATCATCTTGGACGACCGAGGCAATGCATACTTTCCTCTGGCCGCCAGCACAATGAACAGAGGCCTCATCTCCAAGAGTACGGGATACAGGCCAAAAGTTGCCATCTTTGACGATGAAGATCTGGCGTAACCTCAGCCCTCACATCGCAATCTCATGTGTCGGCAGACGAAATGTGATACGAATTGCTTTGGGATCAATTGGCTGTCCGAACACATTTCAAGAATGAGGAAGATAGATATGCGATTGAAATGGTGGAAGGGGGAACGAGGATACGCAGATGGATCAGCGCTGCTGCTGCTGCTGCTGCTCCTTCTCATGCTTCTTTTGCTCCTCCTTCTGCTGCTTCTTCAACGCCTTCTCTTGGGCCTTTTCCTGTTCGTCCTGCTGTTGTTGGCCATCTGAGCTGGGAGCACTGCCATCGCTGCTCGGACTCAGGGTTGAGGTACCTCCTGCGATGGCCTGGCCAGGTCTCGACTCCTGCTGAACAGCAGCCGAGGTTCCAGAAGAGCCAGCCCAGCCAATACCAGGCATGTAGGCGCCACTCGAAGCGCTGCCAACACCCGAACCGACTTGTCCGGCCCCGGGTGACGCTTCAGAACCCACATCAGGTGCAGCGCCAGCGGCACCTTGTGGCACTTGCACCGCTCCTCCCGTGCTGCCGTATCCCTCTCGCTCGCTGCCATCACCTCCAGCATCCTGCCCAACGACACCTGCACCCTTCCCACCGCAACCAGCATTCTGCCCGACACTCTGCATCACCTGACCCGGCGGCAGTGCTCCTCCCATCGTTTCCCCCGCGACGTCCTTCAAGACATCCGCAGGGCTCGTCGTGCTCGGCACCGGGTTTGCATTCTGATACGCGTTCGGCTGGCAGTTCCTACCCAGCGGGCCCTTGCACTGGGTGCAGACCGCCTGGTCACTCGGAGCGAACGCCTTGCCCGGATTGGCTTCGTGCAAGCTCGTCTGCGCAACATCGTTGAACACATTACCCTCGATCAAAGCCGAGATGCCGGGACCCATGTCCAACGAATGACCCGAGTTGTGGGTGAACACGGTGTTCACCAGATGCCAGACGGCTTCCTGTCCACCTTTTTCGTTTGGGTTTGCGATACGTGGCGATCTCCCCGAACAATTCTTCATCACGTTTGCCGAGAATGTCACCTTGTCGCCAGAACCGTATCCGAGCACTGTCCAGTAGTGAGCTCCGTCGCACGTGGCAGACCACTTCGTAGCACCATCGAACAGACAGTTTGAGATGGTCACCCTTCCCGCTGACTGATACCCCGTGACGATGAACTGCCTTCCGATCAGGGAGAACGTGATTTTGTCGATCCACACGAGATCCGTGTCGTAGAGCGTAACGCCATCACCACCCCAGATGTACTGCGGGTTGATCTGATCGATCCGAAAGTTGTGCAGAATGACGTTTTTGGCGTGGGCGATCCTCAACCCCTTGCCTCGCACTGCGGCGTCCGCGGTGATACCGATGACGGACTTGTTCGATTTCACCTCGATGGGCTTCAAGCCAGCTTTGTCGTACGTGACGGTCTTGGACGGCTTACCCTTGCACCAACCCTGACCGTTGTCGATGGCGAGTTGTCCTTGGGAGGGACACTTGGGGTAGGAGTCGGGGATGCAGCCGGCGCAGTTGTTGCAGGTGCCTTCGGAGGTGCGGAAGTCGTAGACCTTGTCGAGGTGGATCACTTGGGGTTGAGGGGACGAGAGGAGCTGGACGAGCTCGTGGATGTCTTTGGGGATGACGGGGGTGGAGGAGCCTCCGCCGGTGACCGAGGCGGCGAATCCGTGCGGTTTGCTGGAGATGGCCGAGCCGCCATCGGTGGAGGAGGAACTAGAGCCAGCTCCCGCAGTGGATTGATCGACAGGTGCAGAGGGAAGGTTGTCGCTGTAGCCCTGATCAGCGCCGAATGGAGTTGTTGAGGGAATGTAGGGCTTGACGTCCTTTCCACCACCATTTGCCCCGCCTCGCTTTGAGTGACGATGATGCTGGAGTCCTCCAACCCGTCCACAACCTTGGAGAGACCTATTTCGATACCCAAACACCCCACTCTCTATTTCCCCACCATGCTGTGCAAACCTTCGATACTTCTCCCAGGGGTCCTTCATGTGTGTCCCCAAGATCGGATGGTACACCTCCATATCATCCTCAATACCATCTCCGTCTCTATCCTCCTCTCTCATCGACCTCTCCTTCAACAGATGAATCCCCGGACCCTGAACCTTCACCACGTCATCCCCCTCATCCAAATCCTTCTTCCTTCTCGTCTCCTCCGTCTGCTCATCGTCATAACACCCAGTCACACTACGCACTTCCCAGATCTTCGAATCCTGCGTAATCGCCACATGTCGCACGTACAACTCGTTCAACACCGTGTCCACCTCTCCCTCCCCAAAAAATTTCTCCCTCAACCAACCCGCGTAACACTCTTCCTCCTTCCGGGTCACATTCGGTGAGCCCAACTTCTTCGCCACTGCTGGACCGTTGATGTTGGGATCGATGTCATCGACGCTGATCTCTATACCGTGTTGCTTTGCGCGAGGTTGATCAACAATCTGTCGGAGGCTCGATTCTTGATCCTCACCAGCACCAGCGTCGTAGCTTTGGTGTAGATCGCGATCGAGATCCAGCAGCATGATGTAGACCAAGGATTGGACGACGTTGGGTTGATCGTGGTTTTCAAGCAGGTACTGATGGAGAGATTTTCGGGCAGTAGAGTCGAGTTTGACGAGAGAGTTGTTGTCCGGTTGACAATTGACGTATCGGATGCCATTGCGGAAGCAAATTTCGTCGGAGGAAGAGTTATAGAAAGAGGGCAACAGGTTGGAGAGCGGGGTGACTTTGGAGAGGTCGAGGACGTGCGAATTTGGGACAGAGACTTGGACCGAGACGACGTTAAGCACGAAGCAGAGGAGGCATACAAGGGAAAAAGGGCCGAATGGCCATGTTTGCCAAGGTGGCATCTTAGAAACGACGGGTAGAGTCTACCGATAGAGACTACCGAGAAGGAAACAGTGTCGCTGCCAGCGCGAACAAGGAAGATGATAGTGCAAAGAGGAAAAAGGGGAGCAGAAGCGCAAGTTCTTGCAGCGCAGTCGAGCTGCCTTATACGGTCGTGTAGACTCAAGCGAAGGCCGGAGCGTCAATCTGCCAGGTCTTGCTCAGACGATCATTTGCTTGCGGAAGTTTTCCAGCAGCCTTCACACACATCTTCCTGTTCCAAGCATCCCTCTCAAGCGATCTCATATACATTGTTGTGTGGGCGCCGAATGAAGTCTTCGACGCCTTACCAACCGTGTCTCGACACAGGTGTTCCTGGTGGGTCACAGGTCAAAGATCGGTCGAGAGTTCGAGAGGATATGAATGTCACCTAAAGTACTGTAGCACGACACAACCTTGCTTTGTCAATCCGTCGTGGGAGAGGACAGTCATGCCGCGACCACCTTGCCCACCAACGAGAGACATGATACCGAGACATCAAGTGCAAACCCATCTCGTCTCAGTTTGCTCGACTCGGTGGCTGTATCGCTAGCCATTAGCCCACACAACCACGCAACACTCTTGGCCCACCAGGCACTTCCACATATGAAGTGACTTCAACATTGACAACGCCATACGCTGCGACTCAAGCTGCACAAAGCTCGTCCGTTGTCCCGGACAAAAGGAGACTTGTCCGCACGAAATAACCTCGCAGCCGCCAACGCGTTCCCGCACAACCACACACTCGCTCTCTCGAGATCGGCAACACCATTCATTCACTGCACTGTGAGTTGCACCGCTAAATACAACCTCGGATCATCCCTTCCCACATCCCCATCTGCGCACGCATGACAAGCATCGCGTCCCTCTGCACCTTCACATCCTCCAGCTCTGCGAGCGCTTCCACCCTGGCTCTTGCCCAGCCCGTTTGAGCCTTACCCCACTCCATGCCCGCCATCTCCGCCTTGAGGGCTGCGAGATCTGTTTCGAGCAGCGCCTGGGTTCGTGTTGTGCGGCTGTGCGCGGCAGCCTGGATCGCGAGTTGCGATTCGAGGTCTGACGAGTGGGTCTGCGATAGCTCGAGTTGTGCACGGAGAGAGGCCAGGTCAGAGAGCGCTGCCGAGAGCTGTGTCTGCAGAGCCGCGGAGGACGCGGTGTCTGACTGTGCACCGGAAGCCAAAACGCCCACAGACTTCGTTGGTGACGCAGGCTTTGACTCGACCTCGCCCCCGCCCTCGACCTCATCTTGTGGTGGTGGGATCTGCTCCGGCGCCAAGTCCTCCAACCCGATCCGAGCAACCGCGCTGACCAACTCGTCCAGATATCTGTCGTCTTCGGTCAACAGCATTGCGCTGATACTCTTCCGGACGTCGATGTCCTTCTTCGCGGATGTTCCCTCCATTGCCTGTTCTCCCTGAGGCTCTCGATCCGCAACCTTTGTGTTGCTGGCAGCATTTGAATCATCATTGTCATCATGAGACCCAGCTCTCATGGAAGCGAAATGCGCTTCGAGGCCAAGCGATTCTCTGAGCGCCTTCTTCAGGCGCGATCGCGTTTTGGCAGACAAGGCTGCCGAAGGCGGATAGGCGCGAACGCTTCTAGATGGAGTCATACCGGGCTGAGAACCGGCGGTGGGAAAGGGCGTTGAGGGGATCGAGGGCACGTTTCGATATCCTTGACGCCGCACTGGCGTCTCTGCTGGACCTTCGCTGCTCTCAGGCACTGCAGCTCCGTGTTGACGAGGATGACGTTGAGAGGCAGCAGCGGCTCGCAGAGACGGGGACGCGCACGAAGTGTCTGTGTCGTCGTCTTCGATGTGTGCCGTTGTGTCACCGTCGTCATTGGCAATCCCTTCCGCCGTATCACTGCCAAGTTGAGACGTGGTGAATGCTGGTTTTGGCGCCGCCATCGCAGCCAGCACGCTCGGCGGAGTATCCAGATATATGCCACCATCACGCAGCGCGGGCGACCTGAGCATGCTGATGTCGGAAGCGGGAGAGCCGGCAGCCAGATCCAGTGCCATGAGATCGACGGACACGTCACCGGCCAAAGCCTCTAGCTCTTCCGAGGCTTCTCTTTGTGATCGCATCGGTGCTGACGCCGTGCCTGGACGCGAGGGCTCTGTGGCCGTCTCGGCAGCAGCGTCGTTTTGGGGCTGCTGCTGATGCTTCAGCCTCTTTTCTTCGTCCATCAAGTCTCCGACCTTGAGGTTGGCTTTCTGTGCGACGACCCGGAGACTCGCGAGGAGATTTGCGTCGATCTCGCTTGATGAAGGGATGCTCTTGTGCCGATCGAGTGCGCTGCTGCGAACAAGAGCCTTGGTCGGCGAAGCTGGCGTCCTCTCGCGTTGTGCGTTTGCTTCTCCGGACACTGCAGCAGGGAAAAGCAAGAGCGAAGACTTGATCGGGGATCTGGAGCCACTACGTGGCATGAACGAAGTCGAGCTGGAAGGCGTCATCGCCTGGCCCTCTGGTACTCCTGCTCCGCCCATCTGCTTGAGCCCAGTACGTGGTGCGCTTTGCATTTTATTGAGAGAACCGAATCTGTTGATAGAAGTCGATCTTGCTAGACTCGAAGTACGCTCTGAGGGTGAGGCGCTTGTTGCACCAGCGCTGACACTGGAGGAAGAGGACGATGAAGTCAGGAGCGCACCACTGAGCCTCTTTTTGGCCTTGTTTAGCGCTTCTGGTGTGCTGATGGGTTGATGCTGGGTAGCTTTGGCCGCCTGGAGCGCGAGGATGGAAGGGTGGACTGGATTCGCTTGGATGATGGACGCCCTTATACCGAGATCTTGTCTGCTCGCGCGAGAAGCGATGGAAGATGCACTACTCGGGTCAGGCTTGCTTGGCTTCGCTGAGTCGGTCTGCAGGCCTCGGGAGCGGAGGGCAGAGAGGGATGACGTCTTGGTCGGCGAAGCGGGAATGCTCTCGACTGTCTGGACTGCCTCTGGATTGACTGTCTCTGGAACATGGGTCGATTCCGTTGATGCCGGAGTTGGCCCGAGTGATCTCGGCCGTGAAGCAGCGAGCTGTGTGACTGCCAAAGGAAGGCTGGTGCGAGATCGACCGGGAATCAGAGAGACAGCGCCGATGCTGTTACGTTTGGATCCGTGAATTGATTGTGCTTGTAAGCCGGCAGGTGCTTGCGATATGTTCTCCTTCTCGTTCGCTGCAGTGGCGAAAGCCGTGTTGACGCTGTTGCTTGATGATCTCCGATGAGGTCGCTTCCCCGCTTGCGCCAGGGTATTGCTGCCGATGCTGGGTATCCTTGAGGCCTTCTCAACTGTTCGAGCGGGAGGAAGCATATTGGTCTGTGTTGTGTCGAGTGCCCCGGTAGTAACCTTGTCGTCTGCACGGTAGCTCGTAACGCGCCTAGTGCGAATCCTCGAAACGTCAGGACCTTCCAGAGCATCTTCGTCGCCACCCCGCTCATCTTCGTCATCATCGTCGTCGGAGTCCGTATCGTCGTCGTCTTCGTTGGGTAGACCGCCTAGCAAGGCGGGTCTGAGCAGCTGGATCGGCTTTTCGTCGAGCAGCGTTTTGATAGGTGCACTCTTGGCCTTGGGCTTCGGCAGCGTTCCGATCATTGGTTTGTGTTGCTGCGATGAGAGAATCGGACGCGTCGAAGCGCTGATAGTACGGTGTCTTGCACTGCCGGGATTGCTGCCGATCCTTGCTCCTGGAGGTGCCGGGGTCGAAGAGATCGTGGCGTTCTGTGGTGAGACTGAAGCATTTGGAGCGTGTACTTCAGCCACACCATCGGATCTTCGAATCTTATGGGGAGCCTTGGATGAGGAAGGCGAAGGCATCGACTTGTTTGATGCGGTTGCGCTGTTCCATTGTGATCGGGCGGAGGGAGGACCAGGAAGCTTCGATGTCGCGATGCGGGACCGGGTTGAGCTGGATGCTAGGCTTTTGGCGATCGGGCCGTTTGTGGTTGACTTTCGCATCACTGGGCCAAAGTCGCTCATCATGCTGCTATCTCCTGGCGAATCGGCCGTGATGTGCTCATCCATCGTTCGCTTTCCAAGCGCAGACGAAGCGCGGACCGCCTCGAGGCTGGTGTCGACATCTCTGCGTGCCGGCAGCGCGGCAGTGAAACTCGAGTCTATGGACGTCGAATTGAATCTGCCTCTGCCGCTGAGAGAAGGGATATTGCTGGTGTTGACGCCGCGGATGGGTCGGCTGATGCTACTTGGCTGAAGTGTCGATTGCTGCGGTGGTTGCAGCTGAGCTTGCAGTGTTGTGCTGGAAATTGTACCTGGATGTGTCGCCGCTGTCGTCTTTGAGGCGAGCTTGGATGCTTTGTGTTGGATGAGTGCGGCGCGAAAGGAGAATTTGGGAGACGACAGCTCACCTATGCCGCCAGCGCGTTGCTGTTGCGGTGGGCGCTTGGGCGAAGGTGAACGCGACTGGGCTGCCGCCGACATGATCAAGACAGTGCTACAAGCGTCGGCTGAGCTCCGATGCGCGTTCTGCTATGGGTGCAAATGCGGAACAGGGAGGATGTGATGGTATGAAGAGAGGAAAAGAGTTGTGTCACGAGGCTGATCAGCACGCAAAAAGCATGAGAGACCAACACATCAACACGCAACAGCTCAGCCAGGGTCCAACTGTGGGCCTTCCGAAAATTTAGACGCGTCTTGGTGAGAACTCGCTGCCGTTCCGCTCACATGTCACACACGCACTCGCAGCAACTCGTCCATCGGAGCATCCGTCTCTGGTCTCCTTCCATTGCAATCTATACGACGGGAAGTCAGCATTTTTCTTCCTAACACCACCAACCATACTCGTTGCAAACCCATTCGATCCTCTCGCCTTTCTCCTTGTCCCCATACCATGATAGCGCAGGCAGACTCGCGCTCTTGCCACTCCTCTCGACCACCGCGCCATCGTGCAGTTCCTTCTTGAATCGCTCCACCCTCTCCCCCTTGTCGAGTTTGTCCTGGTCCTCGCTGGTGAGGTTGATACCCAGTCCAGCCAAATCGACGTTCCAAGCGACGCATTTCTTCATCTCGAACTTTGCTGCCTGTTGCCTAACCGCGCCCACCAGCTGTGCAAACGCCGTGGGCGAGGAGTACCGCAGTCGAAGCAACGCTACCTTGCGTTCGATAAAGTCAAACATCCACACCGCGTAGGACGCATCCTTTTTGTCTCCGTTTTTCGATGGCAGCATCAGCCCAAAGTAGATAGGTTTGGGCGCGGATTCGGGCAGAAGCGTGGTGGCGTAGAAGTTGGAACGTTTGATGAGCCATCGCCAGGAAGTTGCTTCGGGATCGTCGACGCAGAATCTGATGGCCTTGTCGTCATGGCCTGCGGTGGCTTGATGCAGTTGAGAGAGAAGGTGTTGACGATCAATGCGTCCGAGTTCGTTGAGCTGTTCCGCTGTCAACCATTTCGCATCGTCAGGAAGAGCGAATGAATCGCCTTGTTCCTCAAGGGGCTTCCACTCGACGTGGCGGTTGCCCACGACCTTCCAGCCAAACTGCAAATAGTACTCCCCAATATCGCTGTACAGGAAGGAACAGGTCGCGTTGCCTCCATACTTGCCGCCATCCTTGAATTCTCCCTCTGCTCCTTCGTCCAGCTTGACCATCAGCGCACCACTTCCCTCGACCTTGTCACCCTCTTGCTCATCCACCAACTTCGGCACCTCCGCCTTGGGATTCAGCTTGTGCTGCAGCAGCGTCATCATCTTTGCCGCGTAACCGTTCCTCCTCTTGCTCTCCGGTACAAACACCGAGCAAACGCTGTACGAAAGCGATCTCTCCACCTCGTCCTTCCCCGGTCGTTTCACGAGGATAGGCCGACGATACGTCTCGCAAGCGGACAAGAAGTCCAAGGTCGTGGTGTCGTCGGCCGGTACGAGCACCCATCGCTGTCTACGGGTGACGGAGAAATCCGTGGAGCCGAGGACGGTCTTTTCACGAGTGATGAACTGGTCTTGGGTGAGCAGCGGCTGGCCCCATTCGGCCCATTCGCGTTCGGTGGCAATGAGGTCTTGGGCCTCGGTTGCTGGGACTAGGACGTAGCCGGAAAGAGCCATCTTGGAGGTCATGTTTGCGGCGCGACCGGGTCTATGGAAGGCAGGATGAGGAGGGACCGTGTGAGGGTATGAAAGCCAAGGCGACACGGTTGCTCGCTCGGTGACTTCTTCCAGATCGACCGACAGGCTGAGTTCCGGCCAAGATGCCGTTTCGACTGGATCTAACAATTGCGCTGACGTGTGTGCTTTTTTTTGAGGGTTGCGGAACTGCGCATTGACCTGCACTTTCCTCCACCTCACCCATTCTGCAGCTTTCGATCCCATCACCACCTGCCATCGTCCATATCAACCACCGCACACTCCAACCATACATCGGTCATCTCGCTGGATCGATTCAGGATCTTCAACGATGTCGTCCTCATCACCAGCCTCCTCATCGACCTCTGCTCGAGAGATCCGAGTCTTCCTTCCTCCTTCTACCGCCTCTTCCTCCACTTCTACATCAACCCCGACGGTCTACCCACCACTTCCCTCGGAGGACCTGAAACCAACGGCATCCGAACTATCGCACGCCTTCCGCTCCTCCCCCCTCCTTCGCCCGGGACCCGATGCCCCACTGCTCACCCGCGCGCTTCGCGAAAAGGAAGAAGCGCGTCTCGGCCTTCACTCCTCCCGCGCCCGCTCCTACCCATCCATCCGCATCCGCATTCGCTTTTCCGATAGAACCATGATCGAATCCACCTTTGACGAAACCGATACCATCGACTCTGTCTACTCCCTCCTCCACGATGCGCTCGACGAAGACGCCAAGCGGAAGAATGTGGTGATCTATACAAGTCCTCCCAGAGTAGAGTATAGAAAAGACGATAAGAAGTGGAAGGGGAAAAGTTTGAGGGAGTTGGGGTTGATACCCAGTGCAGTGGTGAATGTTAGGTGGGATGATGCAGAGATGAATTCGGGAGCGTACGGGGCGCCGTTGAGGAAGGATTTGTTGGAAAAGGCGGTACCGCTACCTGTGCCGGTACAGGCTGTAGAAGCGAAAGTGGAAGGGCAAGCGGAAGGCGCGGCAGCAGCAGAGGGAAAGCAGACGAAACCAGTACCCAAGTGGTTGAAGAACATTGTTAGTAAGTTGGAAGATACTACCTCCCTTCAACCCAGTGAAAAGGGAAGTATGAGAAGAGTGACTGACATGAAGACTAACGTTATGTTTGGGATTGCGTAACAGAAAAGTGATTACGAGGAGAGACAGGAGCCTTCGAAACGTCAACGTCTTACGCCGCCGTCGGAGCAGAGAGCGAGCAATTCGAATGGGGTGCATCACGGCGAGTCGTCGGATATGCAGCTCGACTAGAGACGCGCAAAACTCCTCACTCGCACGCAAACCCATCAGCGAGACCAGCGACTCGTCCAACCGAGCAGCTTTCTGTCTTTCTCTCCTTCCACCACTTTGCCAACGTCCCGGCGCACGTCACGAGCTCCTAACACAGCGAGCTGTTGGACCTGCAGCTCGACTGAACCTCGAGACACGCACTCACAAACACAAGCGACCGGGCGAACATCGATCTGTCACCATCCTGTATACACTGCATTGCAATTCCTTTCCTCTATCAATGATGACTCTTCCCTCTCAGCATACCGTACACATCCACGGGCACCGCAAAGCTCTCGCCAACCAACTCCTTGACCGCCACGCACAGCTTGTCGACCCTCACCACCAGTCCGAACAGCGTCGCTACGCCTACGCTGAACGTCATGTATTCTGCGTCCTGCAGCGTCTCGAACGTGATTTTTGACGGGAGTGTTGCGAGTATCTCGTCCATGTGGCCTGAAGCGGTGGTGTCTTGGGCGATGTTGAATCCGTGTGGGGTGTCCATGAACCTATCCACGAGTGGACAGGGTGTGACCTGTGGCAAGGGGGAGGCGGTCTTGAGCGCGGTAGAACACATGCTGATGACGCTCACTACGTCGCCGAGGAATCGAGGGTCGAGGAACCGGGTGCGTCGTAGGAGCGCGATCGAATAGGCGGGACCTAGGCGTTCGAACACCGCGAGACAGTGGGAGAGCAGCTTCGAGATTTGCATCTGCACGTCGAACAGCTCGCGGTAGCGTGCGGATGGCCATCGGCCGCGCAGGGAGAACTCGTAGGACACATTGACCGAGATCATGGAGAGTCGGCGGAGTTTGGCGCGGATGCCGATGATCCGTTTACGCACCAGCTCGGATGACGGGTGGATGTTGAGCAGTCGTTGCGGCTGTTCGATCTGCTGCGAAGGCTGGTCCAGCTCGACTGGAGTTTCCCGTTCGTTCTGATGCAAAGAAGGACGACGCGATCCCGGCCTTGATTGGTTGAGTTTCGCCACTGCACCGCCTGCCGAAGTGCTCTGCTGCTGTTGTTGGTGTGGATGACTAGCAATCCCCACCACAGCACAATAGATCTTGCCCAATTCTGCAATCGTGGCTGCATGCGACAACCTCTGGTACTGCCTCAGAGTCGAGCTCGGCGGCAAGTAGCTGAAAATGTACGCCGCTGTAACACCAACCACCACCGTCACGAACCTCCTCCACGCCGTATCCCATCCAAATCCAGGTGCACCGGGTGTTGGGTTGGTGACATCCTTCCAGCTGTATCCTACGATCAACACCGTCGTCACCGACGCAATGATAGGCGTGATAGGTGGACCGGGGAAGTAGATCCTGTACATCATCAACAGCGGGAATGCAACCGCAGTGACCGCACCCAAACCGTACGCATTCCCTCTTCCATCCCCTGTCGAGGTGTACCAGATGATCAACCCAAAGATGGCGCCAATGACAGTTGCGAGGATTCGCGAGAGCAGCGCGAATGCGGTCTCGCCTCGGAATCGAGCCAAGGTGAGTTGCGCCATGAAGATCGCCCAGATGGCGCGGTTCTCGTAGCACCACCCTGCGGAGGACTTCATGAACGCGGGGAGAGACACGAGCGCGATGAGCACCGCAGCTTTGACGCCGAAGAGTGTGTTCCCGTGGAAAGGTCGACGCGACCAAAAGTAGATGGTATGGCCGACGACTTGCAAGAATCCTTCTGGGTCGAGTGCGTCTGGATCACGAGCGCGTGTCGAGCCAAGGTCGACAATGGGATCATAAGATCTGCCTTCATCTTGGTCGGCGGCGACGCTGCCTCTGCGAAAGTGTGCGTGGACTTCGCCGCCGTCCGAGTGGTCTTTGGATCTGCTCTTGCCCTCGTTGCTGGATGAATCGTGATCGACGACGGTTTGGCTGCTCCTACTGCGCTGCCTCGAGGCGACGGGTGTGTCGCCAGAGACATCCGGGATATGATCAGGCTCTCCGTCCGGCTCGTCATCTTCGTGAGTCGCGCCAGAGGTGTTGCGCCACAGATCGGCCGAAAAAATTTTCGGCCAGTGTGGATACCAAATGTGTGCCGCCGTCCTCTGCTTCTGGATCGTCTCGACCTCGCGCAGCAAGTCGAGCATGCGTTCAGTGAAGCTGATGGTGTGGAACTGGTGCAGCCACGCCTGGTAGAGGTACCTGTGGTGAATCTTGCCGATCTCACCTGGGCCTGTACGCAGGTCGAGCTCGGCAGCCAGATCGACACTGCTCAGAGCCGCCTCGTCATGCGCCTTGAGAGCGTCCCTGTACGGATCGAGCACCTTGAGACGTTGGGATTGTTTGAACTCTGCCAGCTTGGCTGTCACATTGGCGATTACCTTGGTGGTCTCTTCCGCCTGCGTACGTCCTTTCTCCTCGCGCTGCTCTTGCGAGAGGAAGAAGCGATCACGCAGGAACGTGTACCGATGCGAATTGAGGTGCGTCAGCCAGGCAACGATATGTCTGATCGCCTCCGCATCGGCGACAAGCAGATCGGACGACGTCTCGCGAACAAGCAGCGCAAACATCTCTGTGATGTAGTTGGAGGCTGACGTGTGGAGGTATGTCTCCAAGTTGCCAAAGCGGATAGACTCCCAGATGGCGACGGGAGCTGGATCGCGTTTGTGGACAAAGTTGTGCAGAAGCTGGCTGGAGCGGTCCCAAGCGTGGTGATGACGACCGTCGTTGTGGTGGTGGGGATCGCGAAGATCGGACGAGCTCTGAGGGCCGTGATGAATCCGGCGACGTGGCGAGGAGCCGCGGGAGGCAGCAGCGATGGAGCGAGCCATCTTCCTGAACCTTGACGAAGTGAGTTCATTGCCCGGTTGAACAGAGGGATGTTCGTCCAGCTGACGGAAAGCAGCGCCACCGACGAAAGAGTCCTGAGGCGGAAAGACTTCGCTGTGCAGGGGAGACTCGCGATAAGGAGTCGAAGCTCCCGATGGCGGAGGCAGAATGTGCGACGCATCGTGGTGCATGCCAGCAGCAGGTGCTGAAGCAGGGACTGCTGCACTTGGCGAATGAGCGGTCGGAACGGGAGTGAGCGGCGCCAATGCAGGCGAGTGCGGACGTGATGGAGGCTGAAGGTGAGGAGAAAAATGAGGGTGTGAAAGCGTCTGGTGGTGCGAAGCGGTGTGATGACTGCCGTGACCTGACTCGGACGCATCCCGCGAATGCTCGAGTGATGTACGAGGAGTGGCGGCCGGTGTGAACGCCGGCGTCGCCAGACGGGAAGGTACCGGTGTCTTGGGAAAGTGTGCCGACTGGATATCAGCCTTGATAGAAGAGTAATAGTACGACCATCCATCAGCAGGAGCGATGAGCGAACGCGAAAGACGCTCCAGCGCGCGGAGATCGTCCCCGCTAGCGAGACCAAAGGAGATCTCGCGCGTCAACAGACGAGAAGCCAGAGCCATGGGCATCATCCCTCCTTCGGCAGCCGCGAGCTTGTTCTTGACCATCTCGAAGTCGAATCCGTCCTTGCTCTCGCCAGTAGCGGGTGGTGTTGTTTGATCGGGCTTTTCGCCATCGTCGGCAGAAGGCGTGTCGAGCGGCGAAGTTTGAAGAAGCTTGACTTGGTCGCCACAAGCGTCTGCAATGGGGTTGAGAACGGCAACGAGACGTTCGACGAACTGCGAGTTGACCGATTTGGGGAAGAAGACGATGCTGAGAAAGATGTTGACGGCAGCCTTGAGCGCCAGCGGCACGACGACCGCCTGACCGAGAGAGTAAAAGGCGAAGGGGTACAATGGTGCATACGTCAGGCAGATGTTCATGAGGATGCAGCTGAACACGCTGGCGAAAAGGAAGGGACTCGGCCCGAAGCGGATCTTGATGTATAGAACCACGGCTGAGCCAACCGAGAGAAAGACGGCGCAAACGATGCTGGGACTTGCTTCAATGTAGTCGCCTTGTATGACTCTTCGAATGTTGGTTTGAGCTTGGGCAAGCTTGTTTTCGCGAACAGCGTGCGATATGGCGATGGCGATGTTGGACCACGCCCAAGCACTGCAGACGAAGAGGAGGGTGAAGAACTCGCGCTCCACAACCGAGGCGAGAGGTGCTTCGGCTGGCTGGATGAAGGCAGCAACGAGGACGAGGAAAGAGGCGCTGCCGAGTGTACGCTCAGCTGGATTGATGAGAAAGATGACCATGCAGATCCAGGCGAGCAGAGCAGATCGGATGACAGGCTTGAGCTTGGGCCAAGTGAAGCAAGGTGGAGCCCAGCTGATGTACCATGGCAGAGGATCGAGGCCGACAAGCTTCGCAAAGCGCTTCCAATGCCGCCTGGTACGGCTGACATTCGGCTTGCTCTTGCCATTGTTCGAGTTGTCTTGTGGGGTCGAGTCCTGCTGCGATGATTGTGAATGTTGCTGTTTCTCTGCTTGGTCAATGTTGTCCGAGGTTGATGCGCTTTGGGACGATGTGTTGACGGCCGCGTTGGCGCGCGGCCCCACTCGACTGCGCGGTCCGACAGAGTGATCCAGCAACAGGCTCCTTGTGGCCTCTTTCACAGCCGTTGGCGATGTATGGCTTTGGTCAATAGTTGGCGACGAGGTTGGCTGAGCCACAAAGTGAGACGGCGTAGCAGATGACGAACCTGCAACAGGCGCGTCGTCTGATGTTATCGCTTGCGCCGGCGAGAGCGAGCTCATCCTGGTAACCGCGATGGCGGGGAGCGTTGATCTGGCGTCTGCTCCGTCTACTACGCCAGCGCCGGCGCCATCCTGAGAATGTGATGGTTGAGAAGTGCTCATCTCCGTAAAGAGCTAGAGATGCATCGCTGATCTGAATGCGCGTTGCCTGAACTCCTAGTCGTGCCTAGGCATTGTCAGTGATCGATCCGGCGAAGCGATCCAGCGTGACGCACTGTGCAATGTGATCTGTGTGACGAAGATGATGCAGTGGTTCATCATACTGAAACACGCTCCCGGCCCAAGGCGGCAAAGAACAATAACCTCAACCGTCATTCCGAAAACATACACGCGGGAGACGGAGTCGGGCCGACCGACGGCCACAGCCTCACACAAGCAAGCTGCAAGCGAGCGGTTAATTATTTATTCGACGCTTATTTATCGGGAATTCATTTGTGTTAAGTTCATGGTGGAGGCATCCGGTTGCGCCGCGTGGTGAGCAAAGATGATGCGCGAGGTGCAGCTCGAAAGGTGCAGCTTCCGATCCGCGGATGTTAAGTGACCTTGTCAGAAAGATGGAATCGGATGATCCGACGCTGCGTTAGCTAAGGCCGTGCACGCTTCCTTCAACACGATGGACCCTTGGGAGAAGGAATCGCTCTTCGGAAGGCATCCGTCATCCCTTTGCTTCCTCTCCCTCTTCACCTACAGCCACATCCACAGCGTCGATCAGTCACGATGAACCAGATCTACGAACTGCTCGACCGCGGCTATGTCCCCGACGTCGTCCTGCGTCGCGCCATCCGCCTGCTCAACGCCCAACGCATCCGCAGCCTCGCCAAGCCCGAAGACGACTTCGGCCAGCACATCTCGCTCAAGAAGGAATACATCCGCTCGCTCAAAACGCGCGAGATCGCCATCGAACAGGATAAGGCCAACGAACAGCACTACGAAGTCGACACCGGTTTCATGCTCAGCTGTCTCGGCAAGCGCGTCAAGTACTCGTGCTGTCTGTACGAGACGGGCAGGGAGACGCTGGACCAGGCCGAGGAGGCCATGTTGAACTCGTACTGCGACAAAGCCGGTCTCAAAGACGGACAGGATGTATTGGATCTGGGGTGCGGTTGGGGCTCGTTGTCGTTGTACCTCGCCGAGAGGTATCCCAACTCCCGAATCCAGGCTCTGTCCAACTCGCGAACGCAAAAGATCTACATCGACAGCATCGCCTCGGAACGCGGCTTCAAAAACCTCACCGTCCACACCGGTGACGTCAAAACCTACTCCTTTCCCACCTCCACGTTCGACCGAATCTTGAGCATCGAGATGTTCGAGCACATGAAGAACTACTCTCTCCTCTTCGCCAAAGTCTCCTCCTGGCTCAAGGACGATGCTGCATCGCGTTTGTTCATCCACATCTTCTGCCACCGAACCACCCCTTACCACTTTGAGGAAGACGACGGTTGGATGGCGCAGAACTTCTTCAGTGGTGGAACCATGCCTAGCTTCGACCTCTTCCAACACTTCCAGCAGCACGTGACGCTCGAGGATAGTTGGTGGATCAACGGTTCGCACTACGCCAGAACGTGCGAGGATTGGTTGAAGACCCAGGATGAGAACCAGAAGAAACACAACCAGATCGACATGCTGCGTAAAGATGCCGTCAAGAAGGGAAGCACAGCCATCGAAGGCGAAAAGACGTTTTACAAGTTCAGGATCTTCTACCTCGCCTGTGCAGAGTTCTTTGCTACCAACGCGGGGAACGAATGGGGTGTAGGTCACTATCTCTTTTCCAAAAAGTAAAGGACAGCAGGACACTTTGCACGTTTTCGCAATAGACTCACGAGGGGCCCGTTTGTTCTCGTTTGGGAAAATGGAATCAACCACTTTACAATCTGCTTACAGCGACTGATTTCTTGGCCCATCGCGGAATAAGACGTGGTGAGATACCCATCACTTTGCCTCCTGACCCCCCTCCTCTTGCTGAACACCGTACAACGACCACCACGCGAACTCTGCCTCACCGAAGCGCAACAACGTCGTTATACTTCCGTCCACCACCGCTACCACGACGCTCCTCCTACCGGCTTTGAGCGGTGGGAAGGGGTTACCGGTGCTACCTCTTCCGTTTCCGCCGTCGCGATTCGCACCGGCAGCAGTGCGATTGCGGTTGTGGTGGTTGAACCTGGCTCTGTGAGGGAGAAGCGGTGCGTAGCAGCCTGGAGAGTGTCTGAAGAGTCTCGCTACGCTTTTCACGATGGTGAAATCGAGCGAGATCACTCGGATCAACACCTTACCCATCATCGTACCGCGAAGTCCAGTCTCGTTACTGGCTCGGCGTTGAGCAGCAGCCAGTTGTCTAGCTTCCGCTCTCTCCCGCAAAAACTTCTGTTTTCCATCGCTGAACTTCCCGTACGCAGCACGGTTCTTGGCTTCGTTGGACGCTTTGAGCTGCTTCTCGTACTCTACCCTCTCTCGGAATTCTTCCGAACTCATACCCTGATCCGACCCGTCGACGTTCGAAATGGAGCCGAACAGCTCGGCGTCAGATCCAGGCATCGGAATGTGCGCAAAGATAGATTCGAATCGCCAAATCGAGGGGACGGGCGTGGTGCGTGCGTTGAGGATGACGATGCGGAACTCGGGTGGCGGAGGATGCGATTTGCGGTACAGCGTGGCTGGTCGCCAGGCGTAGTAGAATGGTTGAAGGTGGTCGGACGATGGTCGTTGAGTGGGCTTTAAAGGTGCGAGTCTGATCGTGTCGGTTGCAGCAGGAGGTGATGTTGTAGCAGCGGACGTTGGCGGTTCGTCGGAAGAAGGAAGCCAAAAGTCATGTCCGGAAGGGACGATCTGCAGCGATTGGAAGACGGCATCGTAGCTGTCCCATTCGATAGAGTCTCCCAAGAACCGTCGGCCGTCTTGATGCTGTTTGTGCAATCCCAGGCCGAGACCGAGGCTGCCGATGGTCTTGCCGCTCGTTGCCCCCTTGCTGCCCAGGATCTTCTTTGCAGTCTCGGAGATTCTTCGACCGAGCTCAACCATGGTGTTGCGCCAAACCCACTCGATCCATCTGGCAATCGCGCTTACGCCGTCGCCGCCGAGCTGGATCATTCTTCGCGGGATATAGAGCAAGATGTCCCATATTGTGGTGAGCTTGATCGGGCGCTGTGGATCCGCAATGATACCATCTGCTTGCGCACCCTTCTTGCTCTTTAGGGCTTGTGAAGCTGTCAGCGGCTGCTTGGCTTGAGCGCTGCCACTGCTGTTGCTGCTGTTGTTCTTCTTAGCGAGCGTTGAGGCTGATATGGGAGCAGCACGAATGGCATCCACGATGCTTGCTCGTTGCACGACATACCCCAGCCTCTTGAGATGTGCATAGATGAGATATGCTTCTCTGGTCAAGGGCTCGTCCTGCTGCATCGCTTCGTCGGCACTTCCATCAGGAGGCAGCATGAGCATCGCGAATGCCTGTTGCAACGACATGGGCACCAACGCTTCCTCTTCGCCGCCCTCTGCTTGTTCCTTTTCCGTCTGGTAGATCTGCAGACTACCTCTTTCGGCCAGAAAGAGCGCTTCTTCGGGAAGCAGCTCGTTCCATGCTTTGGTGATGGTCTTGCCCGTCACATGATCCTTGACTTGCTCCCTCCTAATGACACCTACGGTCTCGAAGATCTTTCCTTGCACATCCAGAAGCCTCGCTCTCCTGGAACTCGCATTCCACGTGGCTCTGACCAGCGACCTCGAGCCTACCCTGCGTTCTCCCGAGACGGCTTGAAACATGGCCTCTCTGCTCCGTTCCAAAAGCTTGGACTGTCCACCAAAGCCGGTCGGTTCGAAATCCTTCTCTCCGCGCTTGGGAATGACGATGCCAGATGTGCTCGAGGTTTTGGATTTCGAGTTGAGCGTGGACAGCAGGCGAAGGTAGTCGGGAGCTTCATCTTCGTTGTCCGAGTCTTCAGCGGGTGCGGAAGTCTTGGTGGAGGGATTGTTGGATCGAGTGTAGGCGGTGGGTGTGGATGTGGGATCGTCGAGGTCCTGTGAGGAGGGTTCGAAGGATGGCGTTGCTGGTGTCGATGATATTGAGGTGGACGCTGTTGGTTGACGACGAGGCGTGGATGGTGATGCTGTCATGGTGTGAGAGAGGGGTCGACCTGTTCCGGGAAGGGCGGTGGTCGATGTGTGATGGTGTCAAGCAAGATATCAATTTTGGCGCAGCAATGCAGAAAGGAAAAAAGTTGCAAGATTCTCGAATTGGACCCTGAAATCACATTTCACGCCATCACTTCCCTATTCAGGTTACCAACTCACTCAAAGTACATCACAGACTTGCTTGCTCATCAGGCTGTGAGGAATGTACGGATGCGAGATGTCTAGATTGGTGCATTGCAGTGTAGTCGCTCTCAACTCCTCAATTCGATGGCTGCGACCACACGATTTGACCCTTTTGATCCTCTACCCGCGTAAAGTACTTGCTACTCAAAATCCCCTTTTCCTTGTCGCCCGATGTGAGAACGACACCGTTGGAAGAGAGGTCAAACTCAACGCCGTCCTTGATCGCTCTCCTGATATCGATGTATATCAAGCGACTCGCGGATCTGCGCACACCCGAAATGACGCCTTTGTCTCCAAATTTGCCCTTTGCTAGGTGGATGTGATTCCTCGACATGGGTTTCAATCCACCCGAGGCCAAGATCTCCTCCCATGCCGATGCATTGGTTCCGTGGATCACTTCCACGGCGTCCCCACCTTCATCCTTGAGCTGCAGTCCACCCATCTTGGCATCCACCTCCTCTTCCAGCCCTCGATCATCTGCCGCTCCTTCCTCTTCCTCATCGCGTTGTCTGACCTTCAACAGTCCCAAATTCTCCTCCGTCAACCTGACGTGTTCCAGTTCAACAACGCTCTTCAAGGAATGACCCTGAACCGCCCTCACCCACCACTGACCATCTTGCTGCTGAGTCAACTCGAACCTCTTCTTGTCGTTGCTCTCCACAACACTCTTGACGTCCTCCAATCCAGCTCTTCGTTTCCCGCCTTGCGCTTCAGCCATGTTGACGCTTTTGACTCGTGGTCTTTCCAGGACATCGGAGAGCAAGATGTAGCCATCGGGTCGAATCTCGAGGCCTTCCTTTTCGGCTCCGTGTCGAAGGATGTAGGAGAGCGCGCGAGAGAGCTGTTCCTCGCTGGATTGTTTGCGTGGGGGCGCTTTGGGTTTGCTGCTCGAAGAGGGCTGCGATTTGGAGGCAGTAGAGGAAGAGGCAGCGGCAGCGGCTTTCTTCTCGGCAGCTTGTTGCGCTTTGAGTGCCTTTTGCGCTTCTTTGCGTGCTTTGCGTTCCAGGTTGACGCCCGGCGCCGTCGAATCTGTCGAGCCCGAAGCTGCCGGAGGCGGTGGTGGTGCTTGCTGCTGAAGCGACGGGTCTACGCTTGGTGCTGTCGTCGACATGATTGGTCCAAGCACCCGTCAAGTGTCGTGTCTTTTGTCGTGCCAATGTGTTGCTATCAAGTAGGTCGAGAAGGAACGAGAAGATCAACTTTTTGTTTGTTGCTTCGCAATTCCGGTGGAGGTCAAAATCATTCTCGAATGTGAGATCCGAAACTGCATCACATTGAAATGTGCACCGCAAAAAACGCGTGACTCGTGCGGCTGGAAGAAGTCGTGAGCGTCTGTGCGTTGGTTTGTCTCGTGGCAAAGTCTCCGCTTTCACCGGCTCTTCCGGAAGCGGTTGAGCGTGTGCGTCGGATCAACATGGCACAGAGCGACAGTCCCAAGCCGCCTTTTTGGCGTGAAAAGCTGCATCGCACGACATCCTCACCTCGCTCACCTTGTAGCCATCTCTCCTTCTTGACATCTGCAACTGGATGACAGCAACGCCAGAATGCAGAAGTTCACGAGCGAGTGACGCAAGTGAGCAGAACAACAAAAGCCTGAGTTGTGATGTTTCGGCCCTAGTAGCCGAGGGCGGAGACAGGCGCGGGCGTAGCAGGATCGACAGAAAGGCATGAACCTGTTTCCAGAAGAAATGTCAGATTCGGACAGCCAGGCCGGCCAGGCCATGTGTCACTTGTGATCCTCCTTTGGCACAGCCCTGCCCGGGATTGCTGCTCGTCAAGCTTCTCTGCGCAAGCCTCGTTTCGGCATTCCCCCGCTTTTGCCTTCCCGTCACTCTGCTTTCTTCTTCTTCCTCCCTCCCTCCCAACCATCCTCCTCCTCCTCCTTCTCGACCCACTCGCCCAAGATGATGGCCTCGAACCCCACCTCCGCCGCCACCTACCAAGGTCACCTCACCGCCGGCGACGGCATGCTCGCCTCGCGCCTCCACAAACCCACCCACCCTTCGCTCGTCCAGGTCGTCTTCAACAACGGTTCCTACAACTCTCACCTCATCTCGCTCCAAAATTTCTCCCGAGGCGACCTGATCACCCCCTTCTCACCCCACGCCGACTTTGCTTCCACCAAGTCCTACTCTACCGTTCAGACCGGTCCTTCTACGCACATCGAGCTCAACTCGGATCTTCTCTACTGCAACCACTCGTGCGATCCCAACGTCGCTTTTGTCATTGGAGATGCAAAAGACAAGTCGACGTGGAAGGCGAGAGCGGAAAAGGATATCAAGAAGGGTGATATTTTGACCTTCTGTAAGTCTACCCCCGCAAGCAATTTTCCTCTTCTTCTAGCTGGGTCAGAGTTGTACTGACGTTCTCGCATGGGGTTATTACAGTCTACCCAAGTACCGAATGGCAAATGTCCCAACCTTTCGACTGCAGCTGCGGCTCCTCCAAACACTGCCTCGGAAACATCGACGGCGCACACTCGATCGACCCGCGAACGTTGAAGAAGTACTTTGTCAACGACCACATCCGCGCGCTCAAGAGGAATCAGATCGAGAACGACGCAAAGTTGGATGCGGAAGAGAAGCAGGAATTGCTCAAGCTGCTCTCATAGACCGGGCTGATCACGTTGCATAGACACTGCATCTTCAAATGAAATAGAAAGACTTTATCCACGTCGTAGAGGAAGATTCGCATTGCTCGCGTGTATGTGGCTGCAAGCTTGTGCACTGCTCTAAGACCGGAACGAGCCACGATCATTTACACACTGCATCGGCAACTCCGTCCGCACAACCTCTCCTTCTTCCCACGCTGAACTTACTCACCCACTCTGCACAACAGCGTGAAATCGAATGTATATATGAAATTTCAAACCCACTCGCAAAGGTCCAAGCCGCCTCTCAAACCGCCACCATATACTGCTCTGTCAGCACAAAGGCAAACTGCTCCTCCTCCAACAGCTGCGCATACTCTCCCGGTGCATCCCCGACACTCGCCTCCGCCTTACTACCCTTCTTGTTCTTACCCTTCTTTCCACTCTCGTTGTACCCTTCCAGATACTTGAAGTGGCTCTGCAACGTGGCCATCAGAGCCTTTGACCTCTTGGCGTTGGGTCTGATGCTGACGGCAAAGTAGTCTGCAGGTAGACCGTAGCGAAGGACGCTCTCTACGAACGTTCTGACGATCTTGAGGTGGGCCAGTGCCTGGTACGCTTCGCTGAAGTTCGTCCTAGCGAGCCGGAGCAGTTCGGTCCAGAGCTCCTTCTCGCTATCCCCCGCATCCTCCAACTCCTGGCGCTGTCGCGATACCAGCTCGTCGTCCCAGCTGAAATCCGTACGCACCACAAACTTGTTCTCCCTGCACTTCTGCACAAACTCGTCCTTGACCTTCTTGAACACGGTCACGTTGAACAGCGCGTACTCGCTGTCCGCATCGATCTTGTGCGACGAACGCGGTACGACCATGTTGGTCAACCTCTCGTACTTTGCCTGCCAATCCTTGACGTTGTTCTTGGGCACAGCTACGAGGAGCGTCTCCAAGTACTCGCTCTGCGCATCTACAAAGTCTTCCTTGTGAACTACATCTGCGAGGCTTTTCTGCGAGAGATTTCCGAGTTTCTTCCTCTGCAACTGTTGCAACTGACTCTTGGCCGAATTGTAGTTGGCGAGCTTCTGCTTCATGACGCTGTCGATGCTGTTGAGTTCCTTGCCGAGCATATCGACGGTTTCGCGGAGGCTCCGATCTGCGCGGTACTTTTGCGTGTTCCACGACCAGCTGAGCATGTAGTCGTCGAGACTCTGTTCGTTGATCAGCACGTGCTGGGCCAGGGCGGATTCGTCGTTGTTGAGCAGCGCACGGAGCGTGTCGATGATCTTGACGACGATCTGCGTGTAGGTGGTGTCGAGTTTCGGAAGGTCTTCCGAGAGAGAGATGAGCGATTCGAGCGTTCCGGTTTTGAGTGGTGGGAACGAGAGTTGGCCGAAATCGGATGACGCGGATCCGCCGTCAGAGAGGAGCTTGCTGCCGAGCTCGGAGAACATTCGGTGCGGATCGTTGTCTTCCAGTGGTACGGAGATGATCCAGTACGCCAGATCCGACGGCATCGTGGCTCAGGCAATATGAGGGGAGACGGATCGGTGTCGGTGTAGATGGTCGGAGCAATGAGGTGAGAGGCGGAGCCTGATGTTATCTTCCGCAGCTGATGTTGCTGACTATCGCCGTTCCGATTGACGTGGAGGATGAAGGTGGATGACTGCAACTTGAGCAAGTGATGTCGGAAGTGTGCCGATGGACGATGTGAAAGACAGAAGAGAGGTGATGACGATTTCAACTGCTTGCTCAAGCGTGACGAACCGGCGCTGTATCTCTGATTGGCGACATGGAGGAAAAAGCAACGCTTGGCTCGACCGCGATTCGAGTTGTTGCAAAGTGCCGCCTTCAGGGGTCGCTGAGTTGGATCGCCATCTGCTACCATGACATTTTCGACGCAAAATGCATGGCTGCCCTTCCCACACATTGAATTTGGCTTCAATTTTGACACCTCTTTTTCTGAGCTCGATTTTGTGTTGATTTCTTCCAAAACACTCGCCGAGACTGAGCCTTTGACCGTAGCCTCTTCCTTCCCTTTCCACCTCGGATCGGCGGATCGCTTCCGCCCACCATCACTGGCTTGCTCCACCTCAGAGCGACAAGCTCGCTTCTCCCCCCCTCCCCCGCCGCTCTCACCATGAACGTCGTGCGCGAGATCTCCCGCATCAACCAAACCGAACTCGACATCGCCATCAAAACCCCCTCCGCCTCCTGGCACCAACAGTACGCCGATTCCGCCTACATCTTCATCGGCGGTCTCCCCTACGATCTCACCGAAGGCGATGTCATCACCATCTTCTCCCAGTACGGCGAGATCGTCGACGTCAACCTACCCCGTGCCAACAACCCCAAACAGGATGATCGAGCCGAATCGTCGTCCTCGTCGCAACAGAAACAGCCGGTGTCAGGCAAAGGGAAGCATCGAGGGTTTGGGTTTTTGATGTACGAAGATCAGAGGTCGACGGTGTTGGCGGTGGACAATTTGAATGGAGCGCAGGTGTTGGGTAGGACATTGAGGGTGGATCACGTGTCGGGGTACAAGCAGCCCAAGGTGGTGGATGACGAGGGGAATAAGGTGGACGCCGATGTCAAGAGTTTCAATGCTGCGCCCGTCGAGACGGGGCTTTCTGCAACAGAGGAAGCGGAAGCAGATTTGGAAGACCCCATGGCCGCGTACATTCAGCGACAGAGGCGTGACGAGAGCAGCTCAAGCAGACACGACGACGAGCACGAACGGGAGGAAAAGAGACGTAGGAAGGAGGAACGCGCTAGGATTCGTGCTGAGAGGGAGGAGAGACGCAGAGCTGCTTCAGAGTCGGATCGTCATAAATACGGGAGAAGCCATCGCGATGATCGCGAGCGCAAGCACCATCGCTCGAGTCGCAGGGACCACGAAGAGGAAGAGGAAGGCGTCAACCGCTACGAACGGATGAAAAAGTCCCGCAGCGTACTGGATGCAGATCGGTTGTCCTCACGGTCTCGTTCACGTTCACGGTCGCGGTCACCACAACGTTCGACTCGTCACCGAGAAGACCGCAGCAGACGGGACGACGACAGGGACACCACGCACAGCCATCACCGTCGACGACGCGACGAGCACAGAACGCAGCCGTCCACTTCGTCTTCAGATCCACATCGTCGAACCGGCACGAGTCGACGTCGATCTCGTTCTCCGCTGTGAGAAAAGCAGTTGCAATCCGAGCATTCACACATGTCGTTTGGAAGAGAATCATCACATTCTGAAGGGGCATGAGAACGGTGCGTGTGCAACGGAAAGACTTGTTCTTTCTTTTCTTCTAACAGCTTCGTCGCATGCAGGGGTCCCCGTCTACACGTTATGATTTTCGCTTGACACCGCTTCTCAAAGCCGGATATTTTCATCCTTGTAACCCGCCAAAACATCCTCGTTCCAAGTGACAAACGCGCCTTGCGCACCCAACCCTTTCCCCTCCTTGCCCCTCGGCTCCTCCCTTGTACCTTTCACTGCCAACGCTGCGATACTGTACGCTGGTTGTTCGGGTCTCAACAGCTTGCCCTCCTTGTGCAGCGTCAAGAACCTTTCCCTCTCGTCCTTCTTCATCGCTTGACCCTTTTCGCTTCGTAGGAGGGTTTGCATATCCGTATCGACGACACCGGGTCGTACGGCAAATACAGCCAAGTTTTCTTCGTTGGCGAGGGTTCGGGCGACGGCGTTGAGTGCGGCTTTGGAGGCGTTGTACGCGCACCACCCGGCGGTGTTGCCTGTTGCGGCGCCGGAGGATACGAACACTACTGTTCCTCGCGTCGACTTTCGCAGCTCCGGAAGTGCTGCGGAGAGGGTGCTGATGAGGGAGACGGTGTTGACATTGAGCGTTTCCGCAAAACTCTCGGGGGTAAGGTTGGAGATTTGTTCCGTGGAAACGACACCCGCGTTCAGAATCAGCGAATCGAGACGTCCGAATTCCCGAACCGCAGCCGACACAGCGGAAGCATTTGTGCTGCTAGACGTGACATCCCCCTGGACGCAGATGAGCGAAGAAGGTTGGTCGGACTGGAGGGAAGATAGCTCCGGCGTGAGCGTGCGCGAGATGGTGACCACTCGAGCAGCTGGGAAGGTCGCGCTGGAGGTGCTGGGAGATCCGCGGAGGAGAAGCTTGAGGACGGCTAGACCGAGACCTCGAGAGGCCCCCGTGAGCAGGACTACTGGGCTGTTGTCTGACATTGTTTTTTTGGGCTGCAGAGAGGGTGGTGTGAGGAAAGGAGGACAACGAGAAGAAGGTTTGGGCATTCATGCTGCGCGCACGGACGAATTTCCAACAGAGAAAAAGACTCCACTTTCAACAGGGAAAATGCTGCGCCTCGACTCTGACACCATCTCTCTCAAATGGCTCTCCCCCACAATAATGGAAAGCATCGTCTCCAACAACGCGTCTTTTGTCATCTTTTGCTCCTCGCGCACGCACGAGCAACCCTTTCTGATCTGTATACGCGACGCTGCTTTCAGACCAAATCAAGAACAAGGTGAGGAGGAAAGGTTTTTCCGGGGATTGGAAAAAAGGTACATCAATCCCGAGGACAGTGTGTGAGAAAACAGATGATACAAGATGGACGGGACGAAAGGTGGGTGGGTGTGAGAGAACGATGTCGTCGATCCCCGCAAAGGTGCTAAGAAACTTAAGCCAGCAACCACATGCCGCTTCCCAAGAGGGCAGCGACGACCGCGGCACCACCACCGACCTTCAAGCCAGCAGCGCCGTTACCCGAACCGCCGCTTCCGCTTCCGCTTCCACTACCACTTCCGCTGCCGCTGCCGCCACCGACGCCCGGTGCGCTGGTCTGGGTGGCGGCAGCGGCGGTAGCCGAGCTGTAGGCGCTAGCGGCAGCCTGGGTGTTCTGCGTCGTGTTGAGCAGCACCCTGTCGATGACGTGAACCACGCCGTTCTTGGCTACGTAGTCGCTCATCACGATCCTAGCCGTCACATTTCCGCTGGTGACAAACGCACCGGTGGAATTGCTGACAAAGGTGAGCTGGTTACCCGCAGCGCTGATGGCGTTCGGAGTGGAGGCGAGGCTGGTCGAGTAGACGACGGTACCGTTGAGCACGTGGTTGAGCAGAACGGCGGTACGCTGCTCGGCGGTGGCGGCTTGCACGGTCTGCTGCACCGCCTGGATGGCCGCGTTGGTAGGGGCAAAGACGGTGACGATGGATCCATCGAGCGCATCGCCCAGGTTGGCTCCGTTCAGCAACTCGGCCAGCTGGCTAGCTCCGAGATCGCCAGCCACAGCGGTGACATTCGGAGGGATGGTAAGCACCTGCGTGATGGGTTGAACGCGAATGTTCTGGTACTGAGGTCCATCCTGCGTCAAGGCGAAGGAGACGTTTCCCGTAGGCAACTGGACGTAGGCGGTGTTGTTGCTGGCCTGCTTGGAAAGCACAACCACCTGAGAGCGGTTTCGGGGCAGAGTGACGAACTCGGACGAGTTGAGTGCGCTGGCTGCGATCGTCTTGTTGTTGGTTCCCAGCTGGCTGTTGCTAATCGAACCGTTCAGAACTGCAAAAACACACTCCGAAAAAAGAGACTCTTATCAGTATCCCCCGTCACCCTCATCTTTCATCTGTTGTTTCGAGCGGAACTACTAACCGTGGTAAGCGATGGTAGCGACAAGAGTCTGGTCAGACACATCGTTGCCGAGCGCCTGGAAGGCCTGGTTGCTGGGAGCCAGCACCGTCTTGTTTCCGCCCTGGAGAGCGCCGAGCAGCATCTGGGAGTTGTTGCCTACGGCGTCGGCGAGACGAGAGAGGTTGTTGGCGCGGAGAGCGCTGAGGAGGCCGTCGGCGAAGGCGGTAGCGTTGGTGCCTTGGGCGAGCGCGCCCGTGGAGGCGGCGGTGAGGGCCAGAGCGAGGGTTGCGAGGAACTTCATCGTCGAGAATGCGGGACGTAGGGTAAGAGAAAAAGACGTGTCGTAGGTGCGTGTATGATCAGACGGTAAGGAGGGGAAACGATGGGAACAATGGAAGGGGAGGAGGGGCTTATATTGGATTCCAGTACTTGAAGTGGCTGCTGACCGGCACTTGCTCAAAGCAATGCTCTGTCTGTCTGTCCAGGCCTGGACCTTTCCCTTCTCCATTCGCGGCATCGCTTCGAGTCGACCATCGACCGGAGGATGAACGAGAAAACGTCATTTGCAGGTCTAGCAGGGCCAAGCTCGAGACTGCGGATCGAGCATCGTAACCCAAGGGCAGCCATTTGCCGTGCTTGCCGTCATTCCTCCAGACCAACGCTGAGAAAATTGGCTCGAGCGCTTTCCTCTACGGAGACGTAGCCAAGCATCACTGACTGGCGGAGGGAAGGAAGAGTGAAGCTGGCAGGATGCCGCTCAGTTACGCCAGAACGAGGCTTGCGCAACCAGAAAAAAAGCCAAGAAGTCAGTCATGGTAAGCAAGCATCGCGCAACAAAAAAATGCAACTGGCGGCAGTGTTGGAAGGGGTCAAAGGTGTCAAGGGGAGCTGAAACATCGCTTAGCACCGAGACCACTTGGCCCTTTCTTTTTCGGCACGGAGCGTGTGTGTGTGTGTGTGTGTGTGTGTGGAGGGAGGCATTTTTACGCTGTAGGCGGGTCAAATTGACGAAGGCTCGGCAACCGAGCTCGACGAGACGAGCAAGGATTGACATTCCGAGGCGTCGGGTCGAGAACCTTTTTTCTTCTTTTTCGGCACACCAGCAAGGTGTGATGAGGACGCATGGATCGCGCAACCTCTCCAACTGGGCCACGTTCACCGCGTCCAACCGGCAATACAAAGTCTGAACCCCCCCCCTCATTGAAAGTAAAGCACAGCCTCTCCAAGTTCGATGTCACTTTTGAGCAATCTGCACTCCGCTTCGAAAATGGAGTCGCTTGAGGTTTCGTTTCTGCATCCTCCTTGGTCTATTCCGCTCGGCATTTGCAGAGTTGGTCGTCCCCTCGACGTGTCTCCCGAGGTGCAAGGCGGATCGCAACAGCTCTCAGAGAGCGGAATCTAGATGTATTCCGCTCGCTGATCATTCCGATGCATGCTTACGAGGCAGGTCCATCCAAAACGTGCCGGAACCCGAGGTGCCCGAACAGAGCAAAGCGCTTCCAATTAAGAGGTCCCTAGCCCAAGGTCACATTCTCTGGGCCAAAGGGAACGCTTCGCCCGCCGTGTACGCCAGCGATGCCGAAAAAAGCTGGAATGGAATCTTGCCCTGCAAGGAGGACGTTCTCAACCAGTTACCGGAAAGGCAGGTGAGGTCAGGTGGTGTGCATCTCTACGAGAAGAACTTCGGTGAGGTCACGAGTCGCTCTTTCTTTTTTTTCCTCAAGAGACACGCAAACGTGAAACACTGGTGGATCGCCCATCGTCAAAGCAAATTGCGGGGGGGGGGGGTTGTGTTCCTCTCGTTGA